AGCCCCAGCACACCGTCTAAAGCAGCCCTCATTGCCCGCAGCCGCTGAGCGCCCCGGCTGCCCCAGGGTGCCTGGGAGGTCTTCAAGGCCGCGGCCGGGCCGGGCCGGGCCAGGCAACGGAGACAGGGGAAAGCAGACGAGGCTCGCCCAGCACCAGGGCCAGCGCAGCCGCCGCCAGGGCGGGAAGCAGGACAGCTCCGGACCCCCGGGCGACCGCAGCCCGTACCTTGGTAAGGTCAATGCCGGAGCCCACAATGGGCAGCCCGTCCTCGTCCATCCCCGCGGCCCCGCACTCGCCGGCCGCCTCCCGGCGCACCCCGGAACTCCCTAGCGCTCCCAACGCGACCTCTTGAGCTTGGCCCGGAAACAAAAACTCCACTCCAAGGCGCTCCGCATGCGCAGTCTCCTCTCCCACGGCAAGGCATCGCGGGAAGTGTAGTCCGCGGGAGGGAGGCAGCTGGAGGGCGGAGACTCAACTCACCGTGCGACCCGGCCGGGCGGAGCAGGGAGCGGGGCGTTGTGGCCAGGTGTTCCCGGAGTACAAATGCACCGCTTTTGCCAGTGAATAAACTGTTTCCGTGCGCACGTGCATAATTTGGGTGGTGAATGAAGGGCAATGCTTTCAATACAGGGAATAAAAATAATGAGCATCGAATGACCATGGGATCCAATGAAAAAGAAGCATGCCTGTAATCACGTTAGAAAGGACTCCTGTATCTTATGCAAAATGGGGAAAGAGGTGTATAGCTGTGACCTGTCTAACGTTTCTGTTTTGTTCAGCAGTACCCACCACTGGTTTCACTTGTTTCTTGGTGTGTAAGTACTTCTGTTTCCAGAAAAGGAACCTCAGAGGTACCAGGCTCCAAGGAAATAAGGACTAGACCTCAGGTTTCCAGATTTTCCTCTGGAAGGATTCTGTAAAATAACCAACCTGTTGGGTGGGATTTTTTTTGTATGTTTGTTGGGTTTGGGGTTATTTTTTTTCCTATCTTCAGTGGTTGCTTGTATTATCTTCTCTTTACAACAGGGTCAAAGGACTGATCAGACCATTTAGAAATGGGGCCCAATACAAAGGTTGGGTTGAACCCCTCTAACAGGTTGCATCATCAGAAAGGGTTTCCCATCTCCCTTTCTTGCTCCCCACTGATGGCTTCATGCACTCATTTTACCATGTATCAGTTAAAGCACACAATGATCCCTTCCTTAAGGCATTTCACATTGCCACTTTGGCAGAGAACTAGTGTTGGAGAAGGAGGAGGGTGTTTTCTGCTTGGTTCATGAGTTGAATCAGATCAGCCAAAGTGTACGTTGAACACCAGAGTCTGGTGAGCAGGGTTACCTGGCTTTGGCAGGAAAAATACAGGTAACTGCTACCTCATGCAACTTTACTGTGACATTTCAGAACTGTGCCAGAAATACTTCTTTTTGGACACGTATCTGTCTGGCTTTGAGCAACTTGATCTAGTCAGAGGTGTCCCTGCCCATGGCAGGGGTCGGAACTAGATGGCCTTTAAGGTCTGTGCCAATCCAAGCCATTCTCTGATTCTGTAATCTAAACACTACTACGTTTAATAAAAAAATATGTCTAAAGCTGTTAAGAATCTAGCATAGTCTGAGGCTATTGGTAGGAAGCTTCTCATGTGATGAGATGAATAAAGGTGCACCAATTATTTTAATACCTTGAAGATAAGCACCCAAATGTGCTATGCTAATTTTCATTTAAAATCTAACAAAACTGCTTACTTCCAAATATTCTACACATAGACAGAATCCATAACAGTGCTTGAATCTTTTACTTATTTACATAGAATTCTCATTTATGTACTGAAACAGCTTTTCCTTGATTATATATTTATTACTTTCACAATGTATTTATTACTAACCTGCTGTCATATGCACAACATTATTACTCTCTTGCTGAAATACTATAGCCAGGTCTTTTGCTTATACTGTTTGAATTACTGAACAACCTGTGTTTCATACTGTTTTGGAACAATAACATGTAGTTGGCCGTTTCTCACATCTCTCAAAAGATGGACAGGGGTTAGTCTACCCCTAGTTCAGTAGGTTTAACCTATCTTCTAGTAGTTGTACAAATTTTTGTTGGGCAAAGGGGGTGTTTGTTTAAATTATTTAAGTGATTTATATTGCCACCTTAATTACCTCTAAACTTCCTTCCCTAAGTTATATCCGAGAAGAATTCATCCTATTTACTGTAAAATGTCCATAATACAAGTTTTCCAGGCAACACCACAGAAATTTAATGATGTAAAGGCTTAGTCAAATCTTATCTGAATCTAGTGGTCTGTAAAGCTGGACAAGAAATCTCACAAGAGTATGCTCTTCTGTGAACTTTCTGGTACATTCTGCTTTTAATTTGGCCAAAAATACTGCATAGAAAGATGCAACACAGCACTTTTTCTCCCAGCTGGAATTAGGAAATCCAGGGCATGACAAGTGAAAAACAGAGGAAAATGATCTAAATATTTCCAAAACCCTTAAAAATGTTTTAATTGAACTGGTTAAACTAGAACTATTAATGACTTATACCCCAATGAAAGGATTTATAAAAAAAAATTATTGAGTGGTAATATCCAGATTTAGTGTGTATCATTTGAAGAAGTATTTTGTACCAGTATCCTGTATACACGTACGGGATGATAAATGTCAAAGTAAGGACATAAATACTGCAGTATGTAACTGCTGGCTGTTCAGTTGAACACTAGTATTTTGAAAATGTTAACCTTTCAGGATGCTGAGGCTAACTTGGAGTGCAAAAGCTAACTGTATTCCAGAAAACTGATCAAAGCTTTGTCTTCATCATTAGTAAGAAATATTTTGTCTTGTGATTAGTGTACACTAAAAAGTAAACCAACAGCCCAGGTTTCAAAGCACTGCAAGTGATCTACTACATATATTTTTATATTGCACAAAATCAGAGCCTCTAGTCAACTGCAAAAGAAAACTGCACAAGCCGAAATAAACCTGGCAAGTGCTACTGTAGCTTACAATGTCTGTATGCATTTTGCATGCTTATATACTGTTACAGGTCCCAAGACATAGTATTCTGTTAGAATCAGTACAGAACTCAAATAGCTATACAACTGAGAGGCAAGTTAAACAGAAACAAGAAGCTGATCCAAAAAATTTCCAGACATGGTGTCACCTGATCCTCCATAGGGGCAACAGTTGTTTTTACTAAGGTGGTCCAATGAACAGCTGAAAAGGTCAGAATGTGGATTAACATTTTTTTTGATTTCCCATGGAGTCTTCTAAATCCATGCTTGCAAAGGGTATTCTAGTAAAGCTTTCTATATGAAACTGATACTGCCTCAATGATTCTTCCCTCAACTGAATTAAAAAGTCTATCTCAGTAATCTAAGTATGTCAGAATATGTACAAATTTAGCAAACAGAAGGTTCAGAGAATTACAGTCCTTGACAGTTAAATAGACTGAGCAATAGAAATGTCAGGTGTTATGCGGGTTCTTTTAAAAAATAAAACTGAAATTAAATGATAAATGATTTGCAGTTCTCTGTAAATGGCTCTTCAAGTTTCAGTTTTCCAGGTGCTATGCTAAAGCAACATCAGAGGATTTTGTGCTGCATGGAAGGCCATGGGGAACATGCTAAAAACATCATTTTATGTTTTCTGCATTTGTTTTGTTTTGGTTTTTTTTTCCTCCTTAATACCCATTTTATATTGGAAAGAAGTAATACAAAGAACCTCGAACTTGGCAAGATCATTCCATTCTTGGTAAATAAAGTAGTCTTTAAAAACAAGAGTATTAAAAATAAGCATTCTGGCTTCTGAATTAACTACAGAACAAATGAGTTTCTGCCCTCTGCCCCCTTGGTTTTAAGCAATTCTAAATAAAAAGTCTTAGTCAGAATGTGCCTGCACGTACATAACACATACTGCCCTTGTCCATATGGGTGCTGAGTATACTATATGATATTTTGCATAGCTAGGGACTATGTACAGCTTTGCTCTGAGTGTGGACATTAAAAAATAAGTATGTTTCAGTTTCACTACACATTCAGAAGAATAGCAGTGCTCCAGTCCTTCCTGTCGGACACACAAAGATTTTTAGCTGTGTCTGTGAGCCAATTAAACTTACCATTAAAGCTGTACTATGGTCAAAATATGGACATGAGATGAACAAAGTGCTGCATCTTGAAGCATCCTCCAGTAAGTACACACCAGTCAAGACTGCAACCTATGAGGCACTTTATTCTTCTTTAAGGTAAATTTTGTGGCAGTTGGAAAGGAAAATTTCTCTAGGATATGAAATGATGAGAAATAAAATATGTCTTACTTTTTAAAAGGTGACTGTAATCTCACTTTTTGCTGTCCTAATTCTTAATTGGTCCAGCATAAATAGGGAATATTTTGAGATCTATGTACTGCTAGCTAATATCGATGGTGACAGCGGTGTAAGGAGCTGTTACACTAGCTGAACATCTCTGTATCATTTCCCTTGCAGAAGCAAGTAAAAAGGATACTGGAGACAGAAGCTGTACGTCTTTTACTCTTTCCTCTTTTACTTCATTTCTGGGTCTCGTATAGAAGGGATAAGAAAAACATGCCTCTAGAAAGCAGAATGTCTTTGATTTTCTAGTAGAAGGCTGGAAGTAAAAGACTGTAAACAGAAAAAAACCTACACACCGTTTGGGATACTTAAAAGTAAATCACTTTGTCATCTTAAGAAAAATAATACTTCTTAAAATTATCATTCTGATTATACCATTAGTTTCTTCACTAATGGTACCACGATTATTTAGCAAATACATTCACAGACAGTACATTATAGCATTTCTTTCTTATATGATAGTCATCGTTGGGCAGTTTGATACAGAGACAGGTGTTCTTCCTGTAGGTACTGTGGACAATTTAAAAGAGGTTGAGCTGTGTTACCCGATCAAAACTGCAGACTGAGATTGCTGGATACAAAATCTCTTGAAGCAAAATAGTTTTAAAAAAGTCATTTCACACCAAAAACCATGTTAAAAAAGTGTACATTTTATTTTAAGGGAAATATCAGATGTATGATAACCGATTTTACAAAAGCTCTTGTATTTGCAAGCTAAAAATCAAACACAAATGTTTCATATTTTACTTGCTCCTTTCTTGTATTCTCCAGGTGGATAAATACCAGTACAAACCGTAAATTCATTTGTTTCAGTCGAAAAGAGACATGATGCTATAAAGCTTCATACTCAAGGTAAATACTTATTTTACATTTCAGATACCCAGAACAAAATTTTGTGATCTCCTCCGACTGCACATAATGGAAGAGTTCTATGCCATGTCAAACCAGATCCTACAGCTGCAGTGCCAGTAAGAATAGGCTTTAAAAAAGAAGAAAGAGAGAAATATCAATACAGGTTACCATATAAATGATTTCTGTAGTATATAACAAGTTGCACAGACATATACAAACACCACAGATTTAGTACTCCTTAACAAATACAGTTAAAATACAGCAGAAATATAGCTGAAAAATCTGATTATTCACTAATTACTTCCATTAGCTCTTTATTTAAATAACATGCAATAAAATATTACTTGGTAAGACATTGTTTCAATTATTTCCATTAACATTATTATTATTTTAAATGCATACTTTCAAACTTAGAAATATTTTTTAGTGTAATTGCTTACTGTTATTTAAGTGTACTCACAGCTAGTATGTTTGGAGGTAATATTTTAACTGTAAGCATTACCAATGTATACTAACACCAGCAAAACCAAACTATTTCCTATGCTTTGTGTTGATTGTCTCTGGATATATTGTTATTAATGATTTGAAGTACTATTAGTTTAAAGCTGTAAAATACATAACCAGCTGGTTTCAGCCTGTTTATAATTGGCAATACAGAAAAATTTATTAAATAACAGGTTAAATCTGGTTTCCTTCCCCTCAGCACTGATGAAGCAAAGCAAAATAGAACTTACAGATCTAGCAGCTTTTAAAATAGCAGGTTAATTGTGGTATGATCTTAAACCATCCTTGGCATGGATGATAAACCAAAATGAAATAGGTAGAGAATTTCTGGATGGTTTGGGCTAGTTTTCAATTGTAGCTTTTAACAATTTATGAGCCTGTTTTGAAGAGAACAGATGCAATTCTAGTCAAAAGCTGAACTCAGAAATTTACCTGGGGATGTCCTAAATGATGAATAAGCAGTTGAGTATTTGTCTTTCCTGGATATCCAGTGGTTGCAAAGAGATTTTCATTAACTCGGGACCACCTATGAAATGAATAGACTTTTCAGATACCCTCATGGGACTATGGAAAGTGCATACAAACTGGAGTTCTCTCCCTTGTGGTTATCTGTGCGAAGCTGTCAGAAACTCCACTGACAGCAGAGAAATTCAGAGAAATGGCTTGTAAATGGTTCAGCACCCGCAGGCCTGAATGCATGTCACTGTAAAACATATACACGTTCACAAATTTCACAAAGTTTATAAACCAGGTCAGACTAAAAGTTACTTAAATGAAACACAACCTGGTTCGTAAACTCACAACTGCTTTGCGCATACATACATTTATATAGACACAAAACAGAGAGTAGAGGCAACACTTATACCTGAATAATCTGGCTCGGTCAACATGGATGGGTCTCTTATCCTGTGGATAACTAAAACAAACATTCAGGGTAAAAAACTGTTCTACAAACAACTACAGCTCATACGGTAAGTATCAAAAGCATGTATCATTTAAACAGTGAAGGAGACATTGTCTACTCTCCCTGAAGAAGCTGAGGGAAAACCAGAACATTCCTGCAGCTTATATCTCAGTTTGAAGTAGGAAAACTGAAGTAGTTATCCAGTTCATTCTGGTTCAGTAAGTATATATTTATGATTTAGATTTTAACAAACACATAAAACTTACTTTGAAAGGTAAACAGTATTGAGATGCTGTCTCAAATGGACAAAGACATACAATGGTATTTTTAACAAATAAATACTGATAGATAAAGATGAAACAAAGAAAACCAGTCAATAATCTGTACTGATTTTATAATTCCTAATGAATGCTCATTTATTTACTTAAGAGGTGATACAATACATAGTGTATTTAAGTAATGTATTAGCGAAGTAGCCACATCTCTTCATGTACTGCTTCAAAAGGAAATAAAGAAACCTCTCGTGTAGAAAAATACCTGGAGCGAGTGACATCCCAGATCAGCCAATCACTTCCAGCAACTGCTCCAATTTTAAGATTATTTTTTAAACACCAGTCTGCTGACATTAGTGGCTTTTGTTCACATTCTAGGGAGAGAATGGCCTGCTGTGTAACTAGATCATAGAATCGGATTGTTCCGTTCTTCTCTGCTACCATCAGCTGTAAAGAGAAATTAATACCACGTTGTAAACTTCGTATGTAATGAATCTTAATCTTTTCTACTCTATAGCAAACCTAGCATACTTTAAAGTAAGTACTAATAATATTAAAACAGGTACAATTTTTCACTTTGTACCAGAAAACATTCTGAACAGTCTTCCACCAATAAATAAAACCCACTTTGATCTACATGACTGTCACACTGTTATACATAATGATTACACTATTTTATCTATCTTTATATATATATATATATAATTTTGGTGCTTAGAAGCACCAGGTCTTAATAACCAATGCACTGCGCTTTCAGAATTATAAAGCAAAGTTATTCTTCTAAAAAGTTCCCAAGTACAAAGAACTGACAGACAGTGCTGTAACAAGGGAACAACTGTATTTAATCAGTGGAACTGTGGAATCTGGATTCACACTGACTGATTTCATATAACATCTCTTACTTCATCCTATAACAATCTGCAACCGATTTTAGCTAAACTTTTTTCATTAAAATAATAAGCAATTGTTTACTAAGTATTATAGAAAGAGCTTCCTGATTAAATGATGAAAGAGATTTTCTCTATGAGATGACGACAGTTCTCAGATAGTCATGAACAATAATTAAGGAAGGCAAAGAACCAGTAAAAACAACACTCTGGTAACATCAAAATTTGTTTGGAAAAAGAGAGCTGTCACCAAAACATGCTCTTCTGCAAGATAAAGGACATGGTGCAGCAAGCATTTTGAAGTGAAATAAGCTTTTCAGCGATCATCAAGTCTGTCAAGTTTTACTAGCTTTTTGAAGTTTTTTCTCTTCAAAACATCCCCCTTCCAAACCCTAGTGCCTACTCTTTGATAAAGGCCACAGAAAAGACAAGCTAATATGTAAGATCGGTGTAATTCTGCAATATTTTGAGTCAAATCTCGTAATTCTGTTGTGCTAACAAAGTTGCCCAGTAGCAAACTGTAGCAATCACATTCAACAGTCATACCAGCCAAATCAACAGTTCTCCTAGTTCTTAATAAGGACCGGGTGTTAATATTGGTGAAGTGTGATGAGAATAGAGAACTTTCTTCCCTATTGCTATATAAGTATTTTGAAACCTTATTTGACCATTTTCCTCTGGTTTAAGTGTGTGTTTTTGTGGTAATCTGAACAACTATTTCTAGCTGTTTAAGGAAGTTACCGATTGGCACAACAGGAATAATCAATCCAAGACTGCAAGGACTACACTCTTAATGAGTATTTTGGCATATATCAGCTGATTAATCCTCCCCAGTAAAATAAATAGGTAACTATAAAATCACATTTTATTGATTTGATTTTTCAGCATATACTTCATATATTCCAAGCAAGAACAACAACAAAAAAAATCCCTTGCTAACTTAAAACAGATAATTTTCAAAACTTGGCATGCTTTTTAAGATTCTGTGTTACTGATGTTACCATGACTGAGAAAAGCTTGATCTTTACTCTAGTAACTGTAAATTAATATGCAATCAGCAGAATAGTTATCTATGATTGGTGTAGGTAATCAAGGAGTATTTCTGATGGGAGGAGGAGGGACTGAGGGTAAAATGACAAGAATGGGAATAAGAATTCATTTACAGTGACTTCACATAAGCAGATCCAACCAATATCCAGTTACAATGTACAATAGCTCCCCAAACTTCAATCTTACTACAGCATCAGAGATTCATAGTTTAGGTAAGTCCACCCTCCCGTTATTTTAAAGGTGGTGAGGGTGAAAAGCTGGAAAACACAACCTTAAAAGGCTCCTCAGGATGCCAGCAAACACTCATTCCAGGAGAACGTAAAACAAAATGGGCCTTCTCATTTCCTTCCAAATCCCAGACCCTAAAGCAAAAAAAAAAAATTATTGCCATTTGTCTGCAAATACATTAACTTTCAGTGCCTCAATACATCCAAAAAGGAGGTGACCAAATGAAACAGTTTGTGTGTTACTACTTCAAGAATTCAGCAAAAGTGCTGAAGACAATATATTGTAACACTGATGAACTAAGCAGAGCCTCTGTTTAAAAGTGCAATATCCAAATAATTTGACAAGTTTAGTTGTCTAGACATGAAATCTAGATGAGACATTCCTGCTTTATTCATAAGCCCAAACTACAGCCTTTGTATAGGAAGGTCAGTGTTGGTCTAGCTGACAAGAGACCTCAAGTGAAGTACCGAACAACTGCAGTCATCCACATTACCAGGTAAAGGCTAAGACCATGCACTAACTATTTTGCTCATCTATATACAAATTTCAGGTTTTTTTTTTTTCCTGGCAAGACAAGATTGATTAATAGAAATGCAAGAAACTAAAAATGAATCTAAGGCAAACAAAAGAATCTACGACAGAGGCAACACAAACTCACAAAGGGTCTTGGCAAGCTTTCAACAAATAAATCCTATGTGCCAGTTTAATATTTTCCTTTAGAAGCACCTACAGTACACATCAAGCAGTTAAGAAAAATAAAAAAAATCAAAATATTTAGTTAATATGGATTGACAGGGAAGTGTATGTTGAAACACCAAAACTAGGTCAGGTGATGAGTGACTTTTCTTTGAATGCGTTTGATATAGAATCATAGAATGGTTAGGGTTGGAAAGGACCTTAAGGTCATGTAGTTCCAACCCCAGAGAGCCAGGAAGCTACTTCATTTACAAAATGCCACAAAACCAAAACCGAGACTATTTGACCTCACAGGCACTGCTCAACTGCCTCTTTACCTACAAAATCAGTAGCTCAGTTGTAAAACAAAGACATCACAGTTGTGAACACCAGTCTGAACCACAAGGCTGCATACTATTTGTGTGCATTTGCACACCAAAACATACACATATATCCTTCCTCCCTGAGACACAAAACCTTAGAAACAGCCAATTTTTTAAGTAGTGTTCTGCCCAGTCTTTTGAGTTAGATGAGTAGCTACGTACTATTATTGTTTATTCTAGAGGATTTTTGCTGACTTCCTCCAGACTTTTTCAGTTTATATCTCACCAGGGTGCTTAGAGCCTTATATTTAAGAGATTTCAAAAACCTCTTAAATAATACATCATAAGTCTAGACAAAATATATGGGAATAAAGGAAATGAACGATGTTGTTTTCTTATGCTAAACCACAACAGATCAAATATTTGTTTTCCCTGTAGAAAACACAGGGTCGCTAATCTTGAAGAATCAGTGGCCTTATTAAAAAAAGTCAAAACAAAAACCTGACAACTGTTTAAAAAATGAAATATCTACTTGATTAAGTAATTTAGAAACATACAATACTTTCTTCTACTGCCAAAAAATTTGCCTTGTAGATTTGTCCAAGTCAAATCAACACTTTCCATGTGTATTTACTGTGCAGGGAGAAAATTATGATACAACACAAGTCAGTGAATCGTTCTGGCCAAAGGAGCATGCCATCATGTTTCCTTCCCTGAAGTAAGTGAGGTTATTAGGTCTTGAGATAGAAATTTATGCTTTCTACCTCCCTAACTTTGTTATTTATAAAATGCCTAACTGGTATCTCTTATTTTGTAAGAATGGCAAGTTTATTAGTATCAAGCAGTATGGTGGAGTGGGGGTGGATCACAAGTCCTACTCTTATATTTTCCTTTCTCTTTATCAATAACAAAGATGGTATAATTTAGTTCTGGGGAAAAAAACAAACCCAAGCAACAAAACAGACCAGGCAATACATATCAAAATAGATCCTTGTCTGAATGCATCTAGTGCATGCTGGTATGGAAGTTTACAATTACATATGTTTTCAGTTAACTCTTTTCAATATTTGTGACTAAACCAAGTAAAAAAGATGTACAAAGACATAAAATTTAGCCAAACTGAATTTCAGTTAATTACTCCATAATCATAACCAAACCAGCTACAGATGCTGAAAGAAAACCCTCTAGTTTTGTCAACATTCCTATCATGAAAATCAATCTAAAAAGACTGAGCATTTCGTCTCCCATTCAAAGTACTTGAAACTTTACTAATATTATCATGATTTTATACCAAAGCAAACTAATATCTAGTTGTCTCCAAACATTCTTATTTTTTGTAACTCTGCAACATGTCACCATCTTACTTCTCCTCTCCTCTCCACCAACCACTGTTGCATAGACTTGTTATTTGGCTTGTGGTATTTTTCTTATATTTTTAAAAAAAGCTTCCGCAATATATTTAAAGGAGAAAAGTTTGAATAACCCCAGCTGAAACAAGGCTCAAAGTCTGAATAATGGAAAGCCTCAAAAATAATACATAATCTGCTCAGTAAATTAATTATTTTTATATAATTATTAATGAATTTAATTAATACTGCAGAGCTCTCAATTTAAACACAAAATACAGTTGCAAATGCTGCTCAAGAAAATTCTTGAGATATTAGTACATTTCTCATCACTCATATCCTGTGATTAAACAAACAAATGACAACTGTAGTTACCTGAAAGTACAAAGATATTCAAACTATGTTGAAACAACTATACTGTATGTCATATGCATAAATATGGATAATGACATGCTGCATATGTGCCGTAATTTTATCACACAATGGAATTCTATTAAAGTTGGCAAAGTATTAATCAGAACATCTGAAAACCTGTCTTGTGGTAATGGAGATTATCCTTATGTTATACCCTAACTTTATGAATAATTTTAACTAGACAGCAAAACCAAACCTTAACTGAATAAAATTGTTATTTGCAGTAGTGAAAGAACAAAACCATATTGCAGCCTTCAGGCATTTCTCAAATCCCCAGAAGACAGAAGTTAAAGGAAATTCTTTCAACATTAAGATTTCCAACAGTTTCAGTGACTGGGGTGGGGACTAGAACAAACCTTGAAATCTGATACCATTCTCAGCCACAAAGCACGAACAACTATACTTGAACGATTACTCACAAACTACTGATCTACTCTTAAAAATGCCCAACATGTTTTTTGTTTGCTTGTTAATAATATCTAGCTTAAACCCCCTTTGCTGATGGTTCTTTATACCTCCATCAGACATATTCCATGTGTGAGGAAAATCCTATCATCTCTAAAAAGCCTAAAGGACTATGGAGAATTCCTGTTATAGAGCTCAGACAACAAAGGTAAAGAGTGAAGCTGTTTCTCGCTGAGCCCAAGAAGTGAAGAAAGAAAGATCTCAGGAAAATGGAAGTGCAGAGAATAGTTAACACTGTGGAGAATACAACCACACTCGTGTTGTCTCATGTCTTCTGCCGACTGCATATGGAAGTGGTTATGAAATATCTGAGGAGGATACTAGGCAGGACATGAAAGAACAGAAAGCTGAAATGGAACTATAGAAATCTTCTCTACCTGTTCAGAAGAAAAAAAACATACTATTCAAGATAATTTCTATTAATTTATTTTATTTTTCTGAGAAAATAAAGAATTAAAGTTTTTATAAATCAGGCCATGCACTACCCATCTAAAAGTTCACTGCTACGGCATCTGTAGTGGTACTAGGCAGAACTCCCTATTCAGCCACAGAAGTGGTTACATTGGGAGAAAAGAGTAAATCTATTTGTGCTGCCCAGCACCAGTCCACCAGGCACAGCCATCTTCAACTATCTCCTGACTCAGCATACAGGTTTCTAAATTTGTACCTGTACAGCATTTTTTTCAGTTATTTCGGCTCAGATGCCTCTATACAAATGCCCGTAGCATGGGGAACAAACAAGAGGAATTAGAGATGTGTGCACGTCTATGTGGGTATGATATAATAGGCATCACAGAAACATGGTGGGATGGCTCCTATGACTGGAGTGTTGGAATGGAAGGTTACAGGCTCTTCAGGAAAGACAGGTCCAGCAGGCAGGGAGGGGGAGTTGCCCTTTATGTTAGGGATAGGCTGGAGAGTATGGAACTCTGTCTGGGGACAGGTGAGCAGTCCACAGAGAGTTTGTGGGTGAGGGTTAAAGGGAAATCAGCTATGGGAGACATTACTGTGGGGATCTGTTACAGACTGTCTGATCAAGGAGAACCTGAGGATGAAGCACTCCACAGACAGATAGGAACAGCCTCACGCTCGCAGGCCCTTGTTCTCATGGGGGGCTTCAACCACCCTGACATCTGTTGGAGCGACGGTACAGCCCAGCACAAGCAATCCAGGAGGTTCCTCAATTGTGTGGAAGAAAACTTCCTTCTGCAAGTAACAGAGGAGCCGATAAGGAGAGGTGCCATGCTTGACCTCGTGCTCACCAACAGGGAAGGGCTCGTTGGAAATGTGACGCTCCAGGGCAGCCTTGGATGCAGCGACCACGAGATGCTCGAATTCGAGACCCTCAGGACAGTGAGAAGAGCGTGCAGCAAGCTCACTGCCCTGGACTTCAAAAGAGCAGACTTTGGCCTCTTCAGGAACCTGCTTAGTAAGGTTCCATGGGATATAGCCCTAAGAGGGCAGGGGTCCCCAAGTCTCTTGGTTGATATTCAAGGATCACCTGCTACAAGCTCAGGAGTGTTGTGTCCTGACCAGAAGGAAGTGCAGCAGGAGGGCCAGGAGACCTCCTTGGATGGATAAGGAGCTGCTGAGGAAAATTCAGATGAAAAAAGAGGCTTATAAAAAGTGGAAGCAAGGACAGGCGGCCTGGGAAGAATACAGGGATGTTGTCTGGGAAGCTAGGGACCAGGTTAGGAAAGCCCAGTTAGAATTAAACTTGGCTAGGGGTATTAAGGATAACAGGAAGGGATTCTACAAGTACATAGCAAATAAAAAACAGACTAGGGAGAATGGAGGCCCCCTCAGGAAGCTCTCGGGAGAACTGGCTACTCAGGATTTGGAGAAAGCTGAGGTTCTGAATGACTTCTTTGCCTCAGTCTTCACTGCCAAAGGCTCTGACCGCACCACCCAAGTCCTGGAAGGCAGATGCAGGGACTGTGAGAATAAAGACCTTAAGCCCACTGTAGGAGAGGAACTGGTTCGAGACCATCTTAAAAATCTGAACGTGCACAAGTCCATGGGTCCTGATGAGATCCATCCGCGGGTCCTGAAGGAGCTGGCAGATGAAGTTGTGAAGCCGCTGGCCATCATATTTGAGAAATCATGGCAGTCAGGTGAAGTTCCCGACGACTGGGAAAAGGGAAATATAACCCCCATTTTCAAGAAGGGGAAAATGGATGACCCGGGGAATTAGAGTCAGTCTCACCTCTGTGCCTGGCAAAATCTTGGAGCAGATTCTCCTGGAAGGCAGGCTAAGGCACATGAAAATCAACAAGGTGCTTGGTGACAGCCAGCATGGCTTCACTAAGGGGAAATCCTGCCTGACCAACCTGGTGGCCTTCTATGATGGGGCTACAGAACTGATGGACAGGGGTAGAACAGTTGATGTCATCTACCTGGACTTGTGCAAAGCATTCGACACTGTCCCACATGGCATCCTTGTCTCTAAATTGGAGCGACATCAATTTGATGGATGGACCACTCGGTGGATAAAGAACTGGCTGGAGAGTTGTGGTCAATGGCTCAGTGTCCGGCTGGAGACCAGTAACGAGCGGTGTCCCTCAGGAATCGGTGTTGGGACCGGTCTTGTTTAACATCTTCGTCGCTGACATGGACAGTGGGATTGAGTGCGCCCTCAGCAAGTTTGCCGATGACACCAAGCTGTGTGGTTCGGTTGATACCCTGGAGGGAAGGAATGCCATCCAGAGGGACCTTGACACGCTTGTGAGGTGGGCTGATGCCAACCTCATGAAGTTTAACCATGTTAAGTGCAAGGTCCTACACCTGGGTCGGAGCAATCCCAGGCACAGCTACAGGACGGGCAGAGAAGAAATTCAGAGCAGCCCTGTGGAGAAGGACTTGGGGGTGCTGGTTGATGAGAAAATGAACATGGGCCGGCAGTGTGCGCTTGCAGCCCAGAAAGCCAACCGTATCCTGGGCTGCATCAAAAGGAGCGTGACCAGCAGGTCGAAGGAGGTGATCCTGCTCCTCTACTCTGCTCTTGTGAGACCTCACCTGGAGTATTGTGTGCAGTTCTGGTGTCCTCAACATAAAAAGGACATGGAACTGTTGGAACAAGTCCAGAGAAGGGCCACGAGGATGAGCAGGGGACTGGAGCACCTCCTGTATGAAGATAGGCTGAGGAAGTTGGGGCTGTTCAGCCTGGAGAAGAGAAGACTAAGTGGAGACCTCATAGCAGCCTTCCAGTATCTGAAGGGGGCCTATAGGGATGCTGGAGAGAGACTTTTCATTAGAGACTGTAGTGATAGGACAAGGGGTAATGGGTTCAAACTTAAACAAGGGAAGTTTAGATTGGATATAAGGAGGAAGTTCTTTCCTGTGAGGGTGGTGAGGCACTGGAATGGGTTGCCCAGGGAGGTTGTGAATGCTCCATCCCTGGTGGTGTTCAAGACCAGGTTGGACAAGGCCTTGGGTGATATGTTTTAGTGTAAGGTGTCCCTGCCCACGGCAGGGGGGTTGGAACTAGATGATCTTAAGGTCCTTTCCAACCCTAACTATTCTATGATTCTGATCCATGAAATAGCCTTTTCATACAGGAAATGTGCAAATACTTTTTTAGAAAGTTGACCCACATTCACCATTTTATTTAGGTGGTCAAAGGAAATGCCAATGTTATTAAAAAATTAGTACTGAGAATCATTCAGATTTTGGCATTAAAATCCATTTTATCCATTGCTTCTTGTAGTATCTACTTGGATATGCAAACATCGATCTTTCACTGGTAACTGTGACATGTAATACTTATTATCTCCTGCAATGTTGGTAGAAGTCAGAGAGGCAGGGGAATTGCACATCAGCAAGCACTTCCACTGAGGTTCTTCACTAATACACATTTCAGAACATGCACACTTAGAAATAAATCGAAAAAACGCACACTACTAGTACTACTACTACTGAAATTCCTTTAAAGTTATCTACAGCAAAGCTAGAGACTAAGCAGTACTTGGGGGGGAGGGAGGAAGGTGCTAGGGGGGAAGCTTCAGTTCTCTCCTTTCAGCCAAAGAAAAATTAGCTGTTAAAGAGTTATCAGCTTATTGTTTCCAACGTAGACATAAAAAATGCTTCTGTGGTACAACTGAGAAATTCAACTACAAATCTGCCAATGACTTTCAAAAATACAAGGTAACTGATAAATAGAAATCATTGCATTAGGTTTGTTTAAAACAATTTACAGGCTAGACTATATTCTAGGATTGCGTGACCCTAAATGTAAGACATAATGCTTCCCATGCGAAATTGTTACTGTTTCATCCATGCATTTTGAAGACTTCCTAACTAAAGGCTTAGTCATCCACACTTAAGACTAGACTGATAATACTGTTCCAGCCACTTGACTCAGAAAACATTTACTTTTTGTTTATTTTAAGCTGACTGGATACTCCAACAGGAGACCAGTCAGTACACTTGCACAGTGATTGTGAAGTACAGCAGAAGTTGTTGGTTAATACTTGCATAGTGGCTGTCAAGTGTTAACTGAAATTTTTTGAGACTACATTTCGGGGACACACAGGGATGCATACAAAAAATGTGCAAAGTCAAAGACTAGACTTAAAAATAATCCAAAACTCTGTGATCTTCATCAATTATAATGTATAACTAGCTTGATAATTATAACCATCATACCCCAGAAAGGACAAATATTTTGGTATGACATTTCTTATATGAAGAAACACAGGGGAATTCTATCAAACAGATTAATTTAGAACAACATGAAATACGATTTTTTTTTTTTTTACAGTTTTGGTAAAAAAATTGTAATTGCATGCACTAGGAATGGGAAGACACAAATAAAATATAATTCTGGAGGCAGGAATAATGAGAATGGCAACTTTTCAATGTAGGCGAAGACTGAAGTATTTATTGAATTAACAAGGTAAGACTCAAGTGCAACAAGTGCTGGCAACACATTAAAGAATGTAAGGAAAAAAAACCCAAACAGTAGTTACCATTTACTTTCCTTTGTATTGTCTAGAGAAAGACCTACACAAAATAACTAATACATAAGAGTACCATGGTAAATAAATACACTACAGATTAAAAAATCCTTAAAAACTGATTAAACAATACAATAAATTCTGAGACTCTTACAGTTAATTTAGTTTCCAGTAATATCAAACCTTTCCCCTGAATGTTTATCCAGCCTTCTGATGGACAGGCATTTGTGGTCCAGAAAGAAGGCAACGGAGAAAGCTGAATTCAACAGCGACTCATAAATAAATTCAGACCCTTTATGAAGCAACATGAGGCATGGCCTAACTGAACAGAACTTAGGGTAAAGAGCAAGTACCTTCACAGATACAGTGGAAGATAAATCAACCATACATTCTTTTCTGTTACACACAAAAACAAAGGAAGATGATGTAGTTGAAGCAATAATGATAATAAAAAGAGAGAGGAAGGGAGAGAGGGATGGATAAGTTCAACTTTTAAAATACAAGTCAATTCAGCGCTTGATGACCATAAGAAATTGCTGTGCTGCCATTAAGGGCCTGACACTGTCTGTGATTTTTCAGTTCAGTATGAGGATGGAGTATAAGGTGGTTATCTATCATACTAAATTGACCTTTTAACAGTCAGAGGTTAATTCTTAGCATGAGACTAGTGAGTTTTACCAGGATGGTATTTTGCCTGAAATAATTCAAGAAACATCAGACAGTCTCACCAACAGCAGAGGAGTGTCTATTAAGCTCATGCTGTTTTCCAAACATTTCCTGTGTTCTTTCTGCAGTCTTCATTAACTATCTGAACAAACCGATCTGTACGTCTCTCATACTGTCTTTGCAATTAATTAAGAAAAAGCCAGCAATAAATCTTGTTGCTTAGCTTTTGTTGTTGGGGTACTTTTGTTTGTTTGGTTGTTGTTAGGTTTTTTTGTTGCTGCTGTTGTTTATTTTAAAGAGTGGTGCCCAGGGAGTTGCATGCATACAGTTCTTGTTTAAGGAATTAAATGAAATCTTCCTTAAAGCTGTCATAAAACATTTTTTTTTTATTCATTAAGCATGCTCTTAGGATACCAAGAAATGGCAAGATTACTTTAATTACATGTAAATATCATATAGAATTTTGAAACTGACATATGAAAGGTAGGTCATGAAGGAAAGAAAAACCCTAGATTTGAAGGAAAACACTTAAATTAAATCCAAGAGGTAATTTACTTTTCTGCCATGACCAAGTTTTGCTTTCAGCAGAAATGCATAAAAATCCTAAATTTGATTTTTTAAATGTATGTACAAAATACTTTTATTTATTTTTAGTTCAATTGGACTCAATGTTAACACATATGACCTAAAAATAAAACTGAGTCTTTATTTAATATAACAGTAGTTATTTTAACTATTTCTTCTGCCAGTCTTTTACAACTCTTTAGCTTTTTCAAATTTTAAAAATATTGTTATTTTTCTAAAATTGAAAAAAAAAATTTAAACCAATTATGAAATATGTAAAAAAGTGAAATACAGCAAAATTTTAAAATTACAATATTCTGTGAAAGATATAAATTAACTATATGCTTCTGAACAGCTTCATCCATCTTGGAATATAGCCATCTTTGGGACAGAATGAAGCAAACAGTACACCATATTTAGGACCCAGGATTTGAATTTTTCCATCAACTTTGCACATGTAATTTTCAGCTACAGGAATTTTGATCTTTAATATACATAATGCAACTACAACACAGTGGGCTTTAAGAGTCTTCCAAGGTGTCTTTCAGAAAAGCAATTCTTTTTAAGGCTATATTAGTTTTGAAATTCTCAGTAGAGGGAAATGTGAGATTATTATTTACATACTTTTTTTTTACACATAACACAGATGGCTACTGGGATTACTTTTATAAATAATTCAGTTCTGCTTCACAGCTGGAAAAAAAGAAGTCTTGTGTTGTGAGACCAACAAAGAGTACGTGCACGAAGTAAGAATTCCTGAATGACATAACAGCAATTTAAATGTAAGAACTTCAAATATATCCAGTATCTGAGGGTTTTTTTTTGCTGTTCTGTATTCCAACCAAAATGACTGAACCAGCTCTGTCACTGCTGCAGCAGCTTGTGGCTAGATTGTTTAGTGCATGAAAACTGAAAATCTGAGTTCATTAGAGATCTCTACTGAGTGAAAAGCAGGGATGATCTTAACATGTTTGTATATATTCTTACATACCAAGACATTGCATTAAAACTATTAAGACTTAAAAGTGGAGCTCTAGCAGAACAATACTCAAACACTCAAAAACTCATGTTCTTGTACTAATTGTTCTAGAACTTTATTCTGAAAGTATTAACAGATGATGTATCCTGAGAACAATTTCAGGATAGAAACTCAGCACAGATAGAAGAATTATCCCTCTTCTGACATTACTGCTGAAGCAAATTACACAGTAAGTAAGGAATGATTTTGGTAAGTCCCAAGGAATGCATTTTCCATTAGTTTTTAAAGTGTAACCTTTAAATTCAATAAAAAAAGTCTTCATGCTCCACATGCATGAATGGAAAAAATAAGAAGTCAAGTAGCCAAAAAAAATCTTACTTATTTCCCATGGCTTTTAACCAAAGACTTTATGGTTTACTGCAAAATGTCTTTCAGAAGTACCAAGTTGAAATCTTGATAGTGTATATTAATTACATAATTTTGATTTCCTTTTATTTTCAATCAGTATCAATTAGACTGCTGGTTTTAAAACAGCTCTCTTTCATCTCAGGAACACTGAACATTTCATAATTTAAAAAAAGGCCACACATACAGACAGCTCTTTAAGCCCAATATTAGTTTAGATTTAATGAAGAAATCAAGAATAGGAAATAAATCAGAACAAGCTACAAATAAGTCATACATTTTTACTGTTCATTCCTAATGATTTTGTTGGGAATATGGACAGGGCGACAGGGTGTCTATGGAAAATCTGCTTGCCGGTCAAAATAGCACTTCTGAGTTCCCTAGGGGTGTTAAAACCACAGACTTTTTAGATTTTCTATTTATGTAGCAGAGTAGCTCAATCACTGAAACCGTGATTTATACTAGCGGATGATATAAACTTCACAAAATCTTATACACAGAATAATAATTTTAAGAGCTATTCTCTTTCTTAGCATGTAGAAGATGACTTATGTCAAAAATTACTTCCCCACCCCAAGTACTACCTGGTCATTTATATAGGAATTGATATGGTGGTAACTTTCAAAGAGCAAATATATAGTTTGTAGAATCAAAGAAAAAAATAAAACAGTTGCTTAATCAAGTTTTGAGTTATCACAGCTATTACAAGTAAAAGATGACACTTTCTCAAGTTTCTTGCTGCTACTGCAATGCTACTGCACTGACTTGCAAAGCCTGCACAGCTGCCCTTCTGATCTCTCCAACAGTGAGCTACACAGGAGGGATTAAGAATAGCAGCTTTAAAGATTCATGTGCACTACTAGAAAAGGAAGATGAGTGATCTGACAAGGAAAACCGCCTGTACTACAAAACCTTAAGTAGCATTTTTCAAAGTATTTAACCATGTTTCCCTTTTACTTCCAGTTACAAATAACTAATACATGGGTTTGAAGCAGCTATAATCATGGCACCATGAGCTGCCAGTACAACTGTATTAATATGGCACTGTCCTTAGGCTATAAAATACTACCTCCTAGCAAGGTTAAGAAATCAACAAGTTCACAAACATATGCTGTTTTTAAACTTGACTCATCTGATTACAGAATGGATAGACAGGGTCTGTAGAGTTCAGTGCTAAGCTGCGCATGTCTTCTCTCTTCTATTCTCATGCCTTTTATTCCTGTCCCAGCAGAGGAAATTATAACATGCATAATTTCAAGACAGAACAGTTTTCTTCACATTGTGTCTAGTTACTTCAAAATATTGCTTTGAAAAAAACCCACCAAAACCCCCAACAACCCACAAGTCACAATGAAAAGCCAGCCCGCAACCTTGTTAGTGAGCTATGAAGCTCCACTAAAAATAAACACATAAATGCTTATTTATTTAAGCAAGCATATAAAGAATACACAGAGAAAAAGCCGAACACAACTATTCCAATAATGCTTTGAAAATTGCATACCTGCAGGTGTGATCATCACTTACACTTGCAACTTCTTGACCATCTTTAGGAGCAAACACCAGATCATTTATGTAATCTGAGTGGCCATCAAATGTCTGTCAACCAGAAAAAATAAATACTTTTATCTTAGAGCAGAATGTTCCATCAGTCCACAATGTATTTAAGAAACCCACTAAAGGAAAGATGTATAAGTGTTAAGATAAAGCTACCATTTTACATAGAAGGTAAAATAAAGTACTTATCAGTAACCAGAGATCTTTAAAATACTTCATTCATGTGTAGATTCACAATGTAGGTGAAAAGAACCTCCACTAATCCTTGTAGTTACCACAGAGGTCAGCTTGGTGCTCTTGCTTGACAAAGATCAGTGAATTGCATAAGAACTTTTTATTCTCCATCACTGAATTTTGCAGGTAGAAGACAATAAATCTCAGACAGAAAAAAGAGAAAGAATGGGAAGTAAATGTATGCATGATCTACACAGAATGGTTAGGGCTGGAAAGGACCTTAAGATCACCTAGTTCCTATGCCCCTGCCATGGGCAGGGATGCCTCACACTAGACCACATCCAACCTGTCATTGAACACTGCCAGGGATGAAGCATCTACCACTTCTTTGGGCAACATGTTCCAGTGCCTCACAACCTTCACAGTAAAGCATTTTTTCCTTATGTCTAACCTTAATCTCCGCTGTTTCAGTTTAAACCCATTACCCCCTGTCCTATCACTACAGTCCCTTATGAAGAGTCCCTCTCTGGCAACCCTGTAGGCCCCCTTCAGATACTGGAAGGCTGCTATGAGGTGTCCACGCAGCCTTCTCTTCTCCAGGCTGAACAGCCCCAACTTTCTCAGCCTGTCTTCATAAGGGAGGTGCTCCAGCCCCCTGATCATCCTTGTGGCCCTCCTCTGGACTTGCTCCAACAGCTCCCTGCCCTTCTTATGTTGAGGGCACTAGAACTGCACACAGTACTCCAAGTGATGTCTCACGAGAGCAGAGGGGCAAGATCACCTCCCTTAACCTGCTGGTCACACTCATTTTGATGCAGCCCATCACAGAACTGGTTTTCTGGGCTGTGAGTGCACACTGCCGGCTCATGTTCAGTTTCTCATCAACCACATATCTTAAAAGAACTCTGATTACTGGTAAGTAACTCTCATCTCCTGAAGGAGCAATAAAGCAGCCACTTGTCCAAGCAGTCAGCACAAAATTGCATAAGAGGATAATTTCTACCTTTAGAAAAAAAACAAACAAAACAACCCAAAAAAGCAGTGAAAAAACTCTCAGTGAAAAAGATGAAACAGAAGACAATGCACACTTTGAAGAACAAAAAATGAGGAAAAATGTAAGAGCGAAACGAAGCAAGCCATACAACACCTTAGCAATTAAACATCATTTCTATTCAGCATTTGACAAGAACAGATACAGTGCCTTGTGCTCTTTGCATTATATGCTGTTGTCCTGAAGAGGAAAGAAAATGGGGTATAGTGCATATTCTTACTGTGAATTAACAGATCATCCATTTTCCAACAGCATATGAGCACTTACAGTGTGAATGTACATGTGAACTGTCACTCTAAGGGAAGCAAGCACAGTTCTATCAGAAAGTCACTCCAAATGGAACCTTGTAACTGTGTAACTGTTCTCACCTAGAGCTACTTATTCATGACATTTTTATTTCAAAGAACTGATAATAATGTGCAAGAAAAAACACTTTGCAGCATAGCTTTTCTGAATAAAAGCAAAATCCCCGTTTTAGCAGAAATTAGAAGCTGGATAATTTCTAAGTTTTTCAAAGGCTTTTCAGTTATCTTGGCCATAATAAAGACACCTTTCCTTCCCCTCTCCCCTCACAAATTTAGCTTTAAGCAAGCACGCAAAACTTTACATTTAGGGTGCAGTCAAAGTCTGAAGTACTGTCAAAGTCATTCACATAGGAGCTAGGTATGAATAAATCACCTCTGGTCTCATTAGAAAATCTGTACCTAATTAAAATCTCATTTTGCTCCATCTGAGGATTTACATGTATTTTCTGTCATTAACCACAGCTACTGTCTTTTTACAGAAATCTCACTTAAAATTTTAAGTCAGGCAAATGTCTACGTGTAGATATTGCATCTGTTACTGTTCCATCCTCTTCAGTCCCACTGATTAAGTCTTAAGACATAGCCACTCTTGTTTTGCTCAGCAAGGTATAAAAAGGAGACAGAAGTATCCTCTGGATAACAGCATGACATAGAGAGATTGCAAAGGAAAACAAGGTCGAATGGAAACAACCAGTTCCACACTCTTCTGAAAAGAAAACACACTCTCTCTTCTCTAAGTGTAGCTATTCTGAGGAACAAATGCAGAACTAATTAAAAAAAAACCTCTCAAGCACACTCAATAACTAAATCCCCCTCTCTAAAAATTTCATGAATGCCTCATCAATTCAATACAGAGACATTTTCAGCAGCCAACTTAGTTTTTTCCAATAGCTCATAATTTTATTAAAACCTAGTGGATTATACTAGAACTAATACATCCTAAGATGATGCTAAACTATTTAGACAGAAATGCCAAGTCTTTTGAAAATTTTCAGCATTCTGAATTCAAATATCCTGCCTCATTTTACTTCCACAGTCCTGATGAAATATGTTTTTTATTAAATAAAATTTGAAGGAGGAGAAGGAAGCCATGATTCATTTCCAAATGAAAACCTCAAAAGAAGAAAATGATTTCACGAAGATCCATCAGTCGTATTTTACCTTTTGTTTGTTGTTCTGGGCTTGATCCAAGCCATAAATTTTGGATTAGTCGTGTTGACAAAGTAATGGAAAACTCAGTATGCTTAAAGTTCCTTGTTGGTAATTACATCAAGACAGTTTTTGCACTGGGAAAACAGAGTATGATTACTCTGTCTATCCCTCCAGAAGCAACACATACTAATTGTTTACTATAAAATATGAAATGTTCAGCGATTACATTTTGACTGTGATCACATACTTCTTTCAGCTTTGTCTGCACATTCTGTACCCCTCCTGAAAATCCCATGTGTAAAGCATGAATCGTACAATGGATCAGAAGCTTTCATGTGTTCACAGTGAGCTCAAACACAGGTTTATGAAATAGGTTTTCTGAGGTATGAAATAACCGTTAGAAAGAAATCACTGTATCAGATTTTCTTGAAAGCCAGTTCAGCATAGCTCAACATCACAGATTTTGCAAATACTTTAAATCAGATTTAGGTGTTACTTTTTTCTTGACAAGTAGTATATAGAACTGTTTGTCCACGTATAAGAAATTACGATTACCCAGAGAAAACAATTTCCACACTTTTTGTCAAAAAACCCCCGAAACAACCAAAACCCAGAATATAGTCTCAAACACAACATTTTTACCAATATGAACACACTATTCCACATTCTTCCTTTTTACTGTTGAGTTCCCTACTATTAGGTAAAAATACGTATTTCTAGCTGTTTTCTGCTTATTTTTAACATAAACAAACCGAAAACTTTACTGTTGAATTCAAACCAACACTTCTCATTTGTATTGCATAAGCATTAAAGCATCTTCAGTCTTCAGTGGTGTCAAAAATGAAGAAGCACCCATGATATCTTCAGCTGAAAAAATAAAATCTTATGATCCTTCTACCTACATTTGACACTGGAGAAGCTTATTCATGTCAACTGGAGCTGAACAAATAAGATTGAAATTACTTGTTCCTTTTGGGGCAAAATAACTTGTATACTTCTCATACTTACAGCTGTGGCTGTTCAGCCTAAATAGCACATTCTGATGTCCAACACCTGTTGTATTAATGCTCTGTGGTCTCTATAATCACTACCTATCACAAGTAATTACTCTGATGTGTTATGCAATGAACATACTTCTGCAGTAGAAGTTTATAACTGCAAGTCAGGACATTTTGTGTAGAAAGAAGTCCTAAGGGTAGATGAATCACTTCTCCAATGAACCTTTTTGTATGAAAAATAATTGCTATGTTAATGGAAATGTAAATGTGGCATTTCAAAATTATTTCTAGGCATCCAGTCAAAGCTACTGTGTAATAAATTCCCCTAAATTAGAAGTGCATGTTTTTAAGTGCAATTTGTGTTGGCCAGATACCAGAAAAAAAAAAATCTTGTCAGAACTGGGAAAACAATAACCCATCACAGAAATTCTATTCTGAAAAAAACAGCATTTAGCAGACTGCTACCGAGTTGCCCCCTTTGTTTCCCTGCTTGTAATGTAGATGATAAATTGATAATAAGTTAGGAAAGAATGATCTCATTTTGTATATTCAAAATTGCTGTTATTTTGAAAGTGTGTTGTTTGTAATCTCATTCTAATCCAGTAATACACAGATTACCAGATTTTTTTCATTAGAATACACTTACTTGAACTTGTATGTTAAAAATTTAAGGTCAAAAAAAGTATCAAAGGTGTGTTTGTGTGAAGTTATACCCATTATTTCTCTGGAACCAATTAGTTTCTAATGAGCAAAATAGCAGATTCCAATGGTAATTCCTAGTGTTAAGTCTGGGAGGTATATTAATGGTATGACTTCCACTTAAATCAAGGGACTTCTAACTGATTTTAGCAGAGAGGCCATCAGGTCCTTTTTTAATCCAAAATGAGTTAAAAGCCTAGAATTTAGATGCTGAATTTAGCTGAACAGAGCCTGTAGTACCAGACTCATCTATATGTTTGATTATTTGCAATTGTTAACCATTCATCTACACTGTCATTAATGATGTCACCAATTCTCTTTCTTCTGTGTGCTCATGAAGTTCTGTAAAAATCTCAAACTGCAACAGACACACATAATTAATAACTTTACATTCTGTTAAAAAGTTAAAAGATTTAATTTACAACTTAACATTAAAGCCTACTGTCTGTAATATCTGGCAGATATTATGCAGATAACTTTAATTAGTGACAGACATGAACTCACAAGCAACGAGCAATAAGAACTTGTATAAATATTTTATCAGAAGTGCCACCCAAGTTGATTGTAACTATGTTAGTTATCCCCCTCTGCCTGGATGACAAAGCCATGTAAGATGACAAAACATGAAAGAAGGAAATTAATCATAGAATCATAGTCAGTTAGGTTGAAAAAGGCATTAAGATCATTAAATTCAACAGCTACACCAGGACTGCCACTAAAGCATGTCACTAAGGGCCTCATCAACAAATTTTCTGAACACTTCCAGGGACGGTGATTCCACCACTTCCCTGGGCAGCCTGTTCCAATGCCTGACTACACTTTCAGTGAAGAATTTTTCTCCTAATATCCCATCTAAACCTCCCCTAGCACATTTTGAAGCAGTTACCTCTTGTCCTATCACTTGCTACTTGGGAGAAGAGATCAGCTAGCCTCCCTGCTCCATGCTCTTTTCAGGTAGCTGTACAGAGCGGTAAGGTCCCCCTGAGCCTTCTCCAGGCTAAACACCCCCAGGTCCCTCAGGTGCTCCTCATAAGATGTGTGCTCCAGACATTTCACCAGCTTCACTGCCTTTCTCTGGACCCGGCTCCAGCAACTCAAGATCACTGTTGTAACAAGGGGCCCAGAACTGAACACAGTATTCGAGCTGCAGCCTCCCCAGTTACATGCACATATGAAGTAACATAAAAAGTACTTTCTTTAAAGAAAAGATGTTGTGTTTTATAGTAACATCCACCTTTACATCTTATGCTATGCCTTTATTCATTGCATTATCAGTATGGCCATGTTAAGTAACAGTCACTTAGTTTTTGTATGACAAATATTGTCTTACTAATACAAATTACCAAACCACAAATGAAAGTCTGTTATTTTCTCCTTTATACTCAATACACAAGTCTCACCAAAAGTGGCATTATCATATTTCATAGAATCATAGAATAGTTAGGGTTGGAAAGGACCTTAAGATCATCTAGTTCCAACCCCCCTGACATGGGCAGGGACGCCTCACACTGAACCATCTCACCCAAGGCTTCATCCAACCTGGCCTTGAACACTGCCAGGGACAGAGCATTCACAACCTCCCTGGACAACCCATTCCAGTGCCTCACCACCCTAACAGGAGAGAATTTCTTCCTTATATCCAATCTAAACTTCCCCTGTTCAAGTTTTAACCCATTACCCCTTGTCCTATCACTACAGTCCCTAACAAAGAGTCCCTCTCCAGCATCCCTATAGGCCCCCTTCAGATACTGGAAGGCTGCTATGAGGTCTCCATGCACCCTTCTCTTCTCCAGGCTGATCAGCCCCAATTTGTCAGCCTATCTTCATACAGGAGGTGCTCCAGTCCCCTGATCATCCTTGTGGTCCTCCTCTGGGCTTGTTCCAACAGTTGTATGTCCTTTTTATGTTGAGGACACCAGAACTGCACACAATACTCCAGGTGAGGTCTCACAAGAGCAGAGTAGAGGGGCAGGATCACCTCCTTCGACCTGCTGGTCACGCTCCTTTTGATGCAGCCCAGGATACAGTTGGCTTTCTGGGCTTTTTTTCCAAAGCACTAAAAAAGAAGGAACCCTCTCCCCTCAACTTTTTAGTATTAATTAACCTTGCTTATTCTTGGCTGAGACCTCAACAAAACAAACTCAAACCGGCTAGCACAAACATCTAATACTTGGACTGGGACACTGTTTTAAAGGTAGAATTTTGAAGAGTATGTACGCGTTCAAGTAACATAGGAATTGACATGTCTTGCAAACAAAAGAAGTCTCCAGAAAACCAATCTTCAAATTATAAAATGAGTCAGTATTTAGGCCTGGCTTCTTTTATATTACTAGTTTATGAACACTACCTTCTACACTCAAATAAGGGGAAGTGAAATTGTATCTGAAGTAGACATTTCCTCAGAAATAAACAAGTGACAGCCTATGGGCATGCTTAATGTACTTGTCTGCAGTAATGTACTAAATTCAGTATTCTTTCTTTAAATTTTCTGCTGTTTGAAAGACTTCAATTGAAACTTCCAGCTCCCCATGAAAGATAAATTACTAAATTTGCTTTTCTTATAGGTAAGTCCAATAACTAATGCGACATAAAATTTTATGGGTCTTTACATAAGGGAACCTTATCAAACACAGGACTTGCAATTCATGTGTAGAACGTTCTGTTTATGAGTGTATTTTAGATGATTCATAAGCCTCTACTTGCTTTGCTTTAATATGGTTACATTGTTACATAAATACTTTTAGATCAAGAGATCATACAGCTGTTCGTTAGTTATTTCCACTTTAAAGACAGAAAAGTATATTATACAATGATTTTTCCTAAAGACAAAGGATATAGGATCTGTCACAGTTTCATGCTCTATCTCATACAGTACATTAAGCAAAATGGGACAGAAGGGCAGGTAAAAGACTAGACTTCACTAAAGACTAAATATATTAAAAAAAAAAAAAATCAGTTTAGCTGCCCTTACCTTAAATTCATTCTTCTCCTGCAGGTCTGAAGTATATAGCCTTAACTTCCTATCGGAAGCCGCAGTACAAAACCTACACTCAACAGACAAAGAAAACCCCTTCGGTCAATTAATACTGCAATAATAGACTTTTGATCAGTTTCCCTTCAGTTTGCTTTGGCAACAAATAAGAGTTATAATTGCAACTTATCTATAAAAAATGTGTACAAAATGCCAGGAATACTTAAAACTTTCTACAATGTTAAAAACTTAAAACATTCTACAAAGCTAAATCTGAACCAACTATCAATTACCTGAAATATTTCTCATGACTCCCATTGAAGCTTCCCTTGGAAGATGTTAAGTGGCAGAGCACAAAAAAGTACCCTCATTATCAGTGTTTAATAGCAAAACATAAATTCATAAGCCCATTTCTAACATTTTAAACAAAAGACTGTATGAAAACCTAGCAGTAATAAACCATCAATTTTGAAGAGGCTTACAAGCTATTGAGAACATTTTAACTGCATATTTAATAGTCAACTACCTTTCTAGAGTTACACCTCAATGGGTCTCACAATAGCATCTGACCCATTCCTAAACACAGCCCTTATTATGCAGACCATTACAAACACCTTTGTAAAGCAGGCCATTACAATAGTCTCATGCTTAGAATTCCTTCTTGACAGATGTACACAGAAAGAGCTACCTACATTTTAGATCCAGTAAAATTATAAAGGAAGAAATTACTGCTAGCTTACTGGGGAGAGGGGCAAGGAACACAAGTAGAAGACTACGACCCTCCCACCCCCTCCATTAGTCAGAATTAAAACGTTGTTCTGATGAAGTAAGTATTAAGAGACTTCATCAGTGATTTCTATGGAGTTTGATTTCACCCATAAGCTTTAAACACACTCCAATACTAAGGAATTAGGGAAAATAGATTAGAGTCCTGGATTCATTGTACTCATTTATAATAAATACCTTATCCGGGGAGGTAAAGCATCAAGTCTGGTTTCTGGACTCCATGCTATGGCATCAACTCGGATTCCATGATGAAACGTTCTTAGCGTCTTATATTGCATACCTTCCACTTCTGCATCCTCCTCCTATAGAAATACTGTAATTAGCTAATCTGGAACAATATCTTGATGACTTCTAAAAATTCTGATTAATATGGAATTAAAACGCTTTAAAAAGTACATGTATCTGGGATCATTTTAGATTGTAACACTATCAAAGTGAAAACCTGGAACACAAAGTATTAACTTATGTAAGTACTCAGCAATACATTAAATGATTGCAGTCTCAAGCCACAGGCCAACACAGAACAGAAAAATCAGAACTGAGCTACAAAGATGCTGAGCATGCTTTTTGTGGAAGTAGTATCTTCACAGATGCAACTAATGCCACCTATAACAGCATGGTAAGAACTCTGAAATACTCAGTGACTCTATATGTGGAAGGGAAGGGAGGATATGAAAACTACAGCAAAATGATCTTGTACCACTGGCTATCAAAATGTTAGTTTATTTTCAAGGCCTACACCAGAAACAAGACAGAAGGCAATACCAGATGACAACAGGTTTTTGTGGTTAGCACTAAATGTTTTTCAGAAAATTTCCAACAGTAAGACTTTGGGGAATAAGAGCAGTTATACTGTTATTCATATTAGAAGTAGAAAACCAGTACTGTATAACTGAACAGTGAGTTGAAGAAAAAAAAAACCTTAAAAAAAGATTCCAAATCTAAGTTTTCTCCAGCATCTTTCGAGCATCTAGGCAAAAAAACCCCTAATTTAAAAAAATCCTAAACAGCATATACAGTGCACAGTATTTTACATTTTAAAATCTTTCAAATACGATTACTCTAAGTAAAAGGTCACAAAACATATTTGACTGTTTCTGACACTCTGTGAGGGAGATCCAATGAAAATCATTCAGAAATGAAAAAATATATTTCTAGAGTCCTTCTTTAAAAGAAGCATCTACCAAATTAACAGACGCTAGTTGTAAAGGTGAAAGTAGTTGCAACACTCACTATTTCAGAGGCTAGCTGAAAGCCTTAGAAGATAATTTAAATAGCAAATGTACATATAAGAAAATATAACTCTGCAAAGGAGCCAATTACCCTGTGATAATAAAGAAAATACCTACAGCAAATATTAAGTCAGTTATTTCCAAAGGTGCATGCTCAAGTTTTCAGACAGCAGTCACCGATATTAGCAAAAGAATATACTAAGATGGGACTATTCTGTCCGTAGAGTACTCCTTATTTCTTTGCAGTCTATTTAGGGAGTGCAGTGACAGGACAAGGGGTAATGGTTGTAAACTGAAAGAGGGTAGATTAATATCAGATATAGGGAAGAAATTCTCTACTGCGAGGGTGGTGATACACTGACACAGGCTGCCCGGAGAAGCTGGGGCTGTGCCATCCCTGAACTGTTCCAAGGCCAGGCTGGATGAGGCTTGGAGCAACCTGGTCTAGTGGAAGGTGTCCTTGACCATGGCAGGGGGTTGGAACTAGATGGTCTTTAAGGCCCAACATCCCTTCCAAACCAACCCATTCTATTCAAAAGCAACTTTATACCAGCAGTATGGTAATTCACACCAGTGGGTATTTTATATATATACTTATTTTTTTTTCAAGAACAAATATCCCAGACTTGTAATAAACAAGTAAAACCCTGCCCTGATTATGTATGGAGGAAACAGGAAACTGACCAGTGCTTTTGTGCAGTAAGAAGTGCTGGCAAAATAAGTTTCAGAAAGCAACTAATAAAATCAACAATAACACAAACTAACCTGAAATTTGCAAGTCCCAACAACTACATAATTATTGCCACCATATGCAATGAGGGAACATGCATCTCCACTCTCAAATGGACTGAATTTTACCACGTGCACATAATCTTCACAATCCACAGTGTAAGCACTGTTTCTAGTAGAATCTTGCTTCATTTTCAGTGGACTAAGTCAAGGTATCATGGAACTGATGGCTTGTCCAGGATGAAAATCCACATTCCTACAGACAAAGTTTTAAAAAGGATGCATTACTCATTTACATAAAGAAAACTTTAAGAAGTATTTGTAGCACAACAAATCAAAATATCCTGCTTAGGATATCATATTTATAAGCACTAAATCTGCACTTAAGCTCATTATTTTTAGATGTAGCATGTAGTTTCATCAATCCAAAGATTAACTATAGTAACATATATTCAAAACTGTCTGTATAGACTTTAGCAATAACTGCAGATTTTGTGCTACTGTTGGCAACCCAACACCAAGCCAAGAAATAACTGCATACCAGAAAAATCACATACAGAATTTTTAAAGTTTCAACCAAATGACAAGTGATAAATTACTACCTTCAAATTCTCTTTACTCTTGTTACCTCTTTAAAGACTCTAATTGAAAGCAGAGTAAATCAAGGCTGCGCAACTATAAATGAGAATAGTCATACATAATATTTAAACATGGCTTCATGACTTCAGCCACCCCAACTACTGACAGTGCACCTATACCTCTGGGTACCAAAGAACTTGTACTCTATTTAACCAGCTTTCAAAGATAATCAGGTTCCTATACTAGAACACAAAAGCCCGTGATACACAACTGATTTCAGAATCACTCCTTTTAGTCCCAGTACAGATTTGACACTAGTTTAAGCTTTTTGGGGAAATTCAACCTTTAATTACACACCACGTGGAAAAAAAAAAGCTTTAAATCTCAAGACCTTTGACAGATTTTGCTGTGTTTAACAATCTGAAACTCTCAACATCCAAGACTTCATATTTTTGTCAGCTACCCAGGTCTGATACAGGCATCACTAAGATGCAGAGACACTCCATAGCTGCAGTGTTTATTTTTAAACTAGCGTGATAGACCACGGCATTAACATAAATACTTTACCCACACAGCTACGTCCTAAGGCCAAATGCAAATTTCAACCCTATCCCTTAACGCTTTCCGTCAACACAGGCCACCAGACTAACTTTAAGTGAAAATACCAAGAATGCTATTAGCTTCAACTATTTAGGAAACGAAATTCAGGCAACTGAGCCGTGTGGGTGCCCCAGCCCCTTCCTCCTTTAACCTCCCAATCCCTCCTTCTCCTTCAGGTCTCAGTTCCCACTCCCAAGCGAGACCGCCAGACACTGTGGCAGTCCCCAGGCATGGCCGAGGGCGCGGGCTCTTCCGCACAGCGGCTGGGCCGGGCCAGCCCAGCTTCTAAATACAAGCAGCCGAAGCTCCGAGTTCCCCCTCACCCCGGGACGGACGAGACCTCGCTACCCCCACCTCACACGCACCTCTGCGGCCCCAAGCTAAACACTGGCGGCGACTCTGCCTCTCCCGCCAACGACCGGCAGCACCTCCCACCCCATGTGCATCAACACTGTGCTTCCGGGTCAACGGCTCCCAAACTCTAATTGGGCAGCTGCGGAGGGTTTAAATTTAAACCGCCAGGAGAGCGGCTCTGCTCTCCAGACGCGCAGGTAGCAGCGGCAGTAAAGCAGGAGTGTGTTGGTCGGATTGCGGGACTCTCGTAAGGGCTGTGTTCGTTATCTTCCTTCTCCCGGAGGGAGGGGTTGTGCCGCTGCTTCCCGTTGTGCTTTCAGTGGGGGAGCCGTGCAAGGCGAGACTGTGGTGAGGGAGGCACCCTGAGGCGGCCCCAGCCGGAGGAGAGGGACGGCGGTGGGGGTAATGGTGATGTTGGCTCCTCATGTTTAGGGTTTCGGGCTTGTTTCGTAGGGGTTTTGTCTTATTCGTGCTGTTTTTCTGTGAGTGACAGGTCGTGTTGTGTGGAAATCTCAGAGTAGAGGCAGAGAGCGAAACGCCTCAGGAGAGATTTTTACATTTCTGCCCATCTGTTTCATCCCCTTTGGCCTGCATGTTTCATTCATGTCAATATAGAATACTAAAGTAGATTGTGCCCTTCAAACATCTTGGAGAATAATTGCAGGTGCTGTTATGATCTTGCTTCATGTCTCCTGTTGTTCCTGCCTCTGTCACTTCATCATTTTTCTGGTTATACCAATCACCAAAATACCCTGGCTGTCGACTGTGCCTTAGCAAGGTGAAACGAGGAAAGGCAGGTTTTGTGCTCTGAGAGTAAAAGGTGTAGGTATTGTTCCTCTACTGTCGCTGCAGTGTTTGGGAACTCTTTCAGGAAAGAGCCAGTTTTAGAACTTTGCTTTCTTTAAGAAGCCTTGTGTGCGTGTGTCTTGACAAACGATAGGAAGTGAAAAAGACTAAAGCATGAAGAAGTCAAATTCAAAACTAATACGGAAACTCATTGCTAAAGGAAATGTCGGTGATAATGACTTACGGAATGAGAAAATAAAATAGACTATATAGGCAACAAAAGCATTTAGAAATGTCATTGTTGGTGGCTCTTAAAAATATTAAATGTCCTGCTTCTAGTTTTAAAGCTTACTGATAGATGCTACTTTTGATATGTAGTGAATAGGGAAAGTACAGCAGACATTTCACGGCATTCAGACTGGCTGCTTTCAGAGACAAGCTGCCATATTTGTGATAGTGTTTATTCGTTTATATTGGCATGATATTACAAGGAAAATAAGGAGTCTTCATGAAGAAATGTCACAGATAAGTACTTTTAACCTCTTTTCGTCATAGCTGCCCTGGCATAGTGGCGCTAGTCCCATTAGTCTTCTGGCGTGGTGGGTAGATTTTGTCCTGAGACTTTGATCTGCAAAAAGATGAAACAGGATTTGCACAGCTTATTGAAAGGTGAAGCTACACACAGGCCTCTTGCATAGTTAGATTTGGTTTTACTTCTCTTAATTATTTCTATCTTCTACTCTAGGCAATGATTACTTTCCAGCAAAAAATTTTAAACTTGATCAAGTGTTTCAGAAGACAATGGCATTTATTTTCAAACTCTGAAAGGACTACTGTATGTGGAGCAGACTGCATGATAATGGCACTACAACTGTCAATGGCTGAAGTCAATAAGCAGGTTAGTGTTCTTTCAGTATCTTCTTGGTACTTAGTACATCTTGAGCTTGGCTCACTTACTGGACTTTTTACTTAGGTGCCTACTTGAAATGGCCATTTCGGTCACTTTGCTGTTGTTTTAACTGAGGGTTACATGGAGGAAGGCACTAAAATTAAAACTAAAATATGGTTAAGCTCACTGTTGAATCAGGGCTTACAAAAAGAGCTGCAACACAGATGTGAGGATGGAAGTGTTTTAAGTGTACATTCAAGTCGTAAATTTTAATGTTAAATATTAGCATGTCAAATGTTTCTTCTGTGCTGTAGATCAGGGTGGGATAACTGGGGCATTTGGAATGCATCTTTTCCCTGAGTATTCTGAAAATGCTTGTGAGTTACATGAGAAGAATATAAAACTGATTTGGTATAAGCTACATGAGCTGTACTTACAGCAGTCCATTTTTGGCTGATGTTTTTCCTGAGGCTTATCAGATTAAGACCTATCATGTAACTTGTAGGTGTGCACCCACTACAGGTAGGAAATGTATGCCCTTCATTGCATGTGTACAAGAATAGTTTGTCAAATGATAAGTAAGAAATGTGACTCTTAATTGCTTATTTAATAGGCACTGTGGCTGTCACAGCTGGATGGCTGAGCATTAGCAATGACCTGGAACATACCAAAAACATATTGCAACTATATCTGTTGCAATATATAGTTAGGTCTTTGCGTGTCTCTCATCTAATAAGAACAATTCCAATAGTCATTTGGGTAATCTAAAGGTATCTTTCTTTTTACTTTTTTTTTTTAAGTCAGTAAGCCTGATTGATGAAAACAAATGGCTGTTGTTGGAAGACTTACCCAAATGTTGCATAGTAAATTAAACACATAGTATAAATCTTCAGTTAAAAAAGCCCAAAATGCAAATAAAACACAACCAAACACCGATAAACAACAACAAAAAACAAATAAACAGAAAACCTGTTTCCATTCCTACTCTCCCAGTTACAGTGTATTATTAAAATATTGCCATTTGTACTGGAAGAAGCTTATTTCTTTGTTGTGGTTTAAGCCCAGCCTGTCACTCAGAAACCACGCAGCTGTTTGCTCATTTCCCCCCCTTCCTCCCCCTGCTCCCGGAGGGATGGGGAGGAGAATCAAAAGAATGTAACTCCCATGGGTTGAGATAAGAACAGTCCAGTAACTAAGGTATAACACAAATCACTACTGCTACCATCAATAATAATAATGGTAAGGAAAATAACAAGGGAAGAGAATACAACCGCTCACCGCTTGCCTACTGATACCCAACCCGAGCAGTGATCTAGCCCTCCCAGGTAACTGCGCCCAGTTTATATAGTGGGCATGATATGCTGTGGTATGGAATAACTCTTTGGCTAGTTTGAGTCAGGTGTCCTGTCTCTGCTTTTTCCTGGCTTCCCCTCCTTCCTGGCAGAGCATGAGACTCAGTCCTTGGTTGAACTAAACATTGCTAAGCGGTGACTAAAAACGTTGGTGTTATCAGTGCTGTTCCCAGGCAGAAAGTCATAAATATAGCACTGCACCAGCTACTAAGAAGGAGAAAAAAAATGACTGCTGCTGCAGTCATAGCATACAAGTCATAGTACTGAATTATCATAACCTATGCACAAATTAGAAAGCAAAAAGTACTCTGAAAGTAACATGTGTGGGCACTGTTTCAGTTTCATATTCACTCCTAGTTCTTAGTCCAGGCAATATCAAAATAATTGATACCTTGATATTGGAATCATATATTTTAACCAGGTCTGCTGGGAAAGTTGTGCTATGTATGCTAGAACCTGAAGGAGGGATCTCTTGGGCTGGAACAACTCAATTGTTAGAACTGCTCCTGATCTTTTTTTGTATTTAGTTTTGTATTCAGTTGCTGATGGTGTTTGTAGGTAATTTTATCCAGAATAAAGTTGTTTAAAGTGAAAATGTAGTGAAATAACTCCTGTCTAGTTTAAAGGGTTTATCTGCCCTTACTGACATAGAAAAGCAAGGCCTGCTTAATCAGTTGCAGGGCATTTATATCATGTTACATAATGAACTGCATGACTGTAAAATATGGGGGGGGTGGTGCTGCCATGTTACTGGGGAAGGCTTTAGATACTGGTAGTATCAACTCTGTTTCTTTGGTGAAAACTGGAAAACTCGCTACAATTGCAAAATTACTTGTTGCATGTATTCTGATGTCTAACTGGGAAGGACCTCAGCTGAACAAGTTTAACAGCTTGAAGTGGGGACTAGATACTGATCAAAGAGCAGGGTGTGGACAAAAATGAGAAGCCTAGTTGTTAAAGAGAAGGTCACATCTTTCACATGAAAGAGGAAGTGATGACGGGAAGTTGGACTGGGAGGATGCAGAGTAAAGTAATATGGAGAGGTCTGCAATAAACATGGCTGTGAGAAAACAGACTGTGATGGACATTGGCTAAGAATGTCTGAAAATTTGGGAGCAAGGTGAAAATAGGCAGAGAACATAATAAGGTATGGGTGTGTAGGGAGATCAGCAACTTCTAGCTGGAATTTTGGAAAGCCAGAGAACGGTACAGAAGTCCAGGGTCAGTGGTCAAGAGATGATGAAAAACAGGTTAACAATTAGTGAATAATGAACCAAATTGTGAATTAGAGGCTAGAAATATGTATGTGAATCTGCAACTCAAACCCTGTGTTTAGTCTCTGTTACCATTAGTTCAGCCTAATTAGTAGCAGAATTCTCTGTATTTTCATTTCTATAAGTAGCATTTTAATGCAATTCCTTACTTGTATGCATAGCTTGGTTTACAGGGGTTGAAACTGATTTTCTGGCTTTCTCAGTGTTGCGGTCTTTAACCATTGTCAATACATTCGTTTCCTTTATTGGCAACCACAAGAAACAGGCTCAGATTTCTTGCAGTTCCTTATACCCCCACACTGAACTGGAACCTGAACTGGAAAACTTACTTAAAATGTCTGATGCTCAGTGAGCTAATCCACCCCCTGCTACCCCAGCTGTGAATTGCTTGGTTTAAAAAGCAATATTTTACTGAATATAAAAAAGACAATGTGAAGGATTAAACAAGTAGGATTATGTATTGTACTTAATTATTTATTTCTTAGAGTGCAGCAATAACTGCTTTCTCCTGTAGCTTCTTATTGACACAACTGGATAGTATCTACCTTGTGATCCTACTTCCTTCAGTAGCATATCACTTGGTTTGTGACTCAAATAATAAGGCTTTGTCAGTTATATGGCTTGTTTTTGAATTTCTGCAAATTTCAGCTCCGCTCTCTGTTCCTATCTGCTGTTACACTTTCACCTTTTTGTCTGTCATTTGTGCCCTGCTGCTTGCATGTGTGACCGACTATACTAGGTTTGCTGTTTTGTTTCTTTAGTTAATTCTGCTTCATAAATGAAATTACATGCAACATTATGGGTTACATAGAGTATCTGTCATTTTTAGTTTCCCATGTAGAGATAATCTTTAAAGAAAAGTTTATTTCTTTTTTTTTCTTTTAGTTTAGAACTGCACAACAAAACTACAGGCTTACTGTTTTACTATTAATTGTTTACATTTATAAGTGCGTAAGCATGATGACTTAATACACCCCTACATATGAATTCAGTAATAGCAGATGCCCCCATATTAATGTAAGTCCTTTGGAAAAAATATGTGAAACTAATATATAAATCAAACATGGTTTTAGTCATTCTTGTTGATGCATTTTCTGCTTCTGTTCACCAAAGGTCAACAGAGCGCTCCTCTCAAGGGTTAGGGGAGAAAGGGACTTCATAGAATCATATAATATTTAAGGTTGGAAAGGAACTTAAGATCATCTAGTTTGAGCCCCCTGACATGGGCAGGGGCACCTCACATTAAACCATGCCATCCAAGGCTCTGTCCAGCCTCGCCTTGAACACTGCCAGGGATGGAGCGTTCACAGCCTCCTTGGGCAACCCATTCCAGTGCCTCACCACCCTCACAGTAAGAACTTCCTCCTTATGTCCAACCTAAACTTCCCCCATTTAAGTTTTAACCTGTTACCTGTTGGCCTGTCACTACAGTCTCTAATGAGTAGTTCATCCCCAGCATCCCTGTAGCCCCCCCTTCAGATACTGGAAGGCTGCTATGAGGTCTCCATGCAGCCTTCTCTTCTCCAGGCTGAACGACTCCAACTTTCTCAGCCCATCTTCATACGGGAGGTACTCCAGTTCCCTGATCATCCTCGTTGTCCTCCTCTGGACTTGTTTCAACAGTTCCATTATTTTTAAAACTACACTGAATACAAAACATAATGTTTGCTTTTTCTATTAGCACCACGGAGATTTCACAGTCTCGCTTAGTGATTTACTGGAAACTTGGAAATACTTGTTATATGACAAACTGGGAATATCATATGAAAACATGAAAGAACCTGAAAATTATGCTGACATGAAAAAAGCTTATCATGCCTTCTTAGCAAGAAGCAGTATGCTAGATCTAATAGATATATATCAGAAGTGCTGTGGTCTTGGACTTGTATCTGAAGATGAAAACATAGCTCCTGTAAGTATTTTTGTTTATTTTATCTTATTTTTGCTGGTGTTTTTTGTTTGTTTTTGATATATTTTGATTCAAGTTATGGATTTATGACACTTTTAAATATACATAGGATCCCTGAATTATTCACAAGTTACTTTGCTCTTCTACTGCAGAAACAGATGAGTTTAAATTATCAACTCCTTTAAGGAGATCTTAAATTCACTCAAGATATTTTTCTGTTGTCCTGCTGGATAGGTGAGTCTCACAGCTCTTCTATGAGTGTATCCGCTCTTTGCCAGAAATGGAACTGAAAGATGAACTGTAGAGATTTGATAAGGCTGGACCAAAGCTTAGTGATTAACACGTCATGGAATTTTGATTGTATGTTGATAACCAATAAAAATATTTTTAATGGTTACCTTAAAATACCATGCTCTTTAAAAGCAAAAACTTCCTTATAGTACAAGTAGTTTCATGATGTATTTTTCCAGAAACCACTTCAGCCACTCAGTCAGCAGCTCTGTTGCAGGTCAGATGTTCTTATGACACTGTATGTGAGGCCATGCTAGAGAAGTTCTTGTGTGTGTTCCACTTTTATACTGTAAAAGTAGGAAAAAATAATATGATTAATCTTTTTTTTTTTGCTTCAAAATATATGTAAGTAGCAATTAATCTTGAAACACAACCATTCCACATGATTTTATTTGATTTTGTGCTCTCTAGACTTTGGAAAGGCCAAAAGACAATGAATGTTGGATTTAGATTCAGGTATTTCTAGCTTCTAATGCTAGAGAGGAGTTTCTTGTCTGCTTTTACTGTCCACTTGCAGTATTACAGACTTAACAAATTACTGTTTATTTAATCTTCTGAATTTGATGTATGTTTAATTAGATCATCATTTTTATATGAGGGAAGCTATAGCTATCAGTAAATGAATGTTAATTAAACTGAAGTAGGCTACAGACGTAACATACTACAGAATATGTAATAATATACCATGAATTACTACCTACAGCGTGATTAAAACTGTTCACTTTCTAGCCCTAGTAAGAATGAAAAGATTTCTCCATGTGGTCAAATATTGCAACAGGTTGCCCAGGGAGGATGTAGAATCTCACCTTTGGAGATATGAAAGTCTGGAATTAGTATTTCACTGAGCAACCTGATAAAACTGATCCTGCTTCAAGCATGGTTTGTGCAAGATGATCTCTATAGGACCCTTTTAACCTAAATTATTGTATGATTCTATGACAAGTATGCTTGTAACCAGCTTGTCTAGCTCCTTAAAGGTTCAGAGAACCTACACTCAAACACTGATGTGATCATCAGACACAAAAGGGATTATAAGCACAACTTCAGTAAAGGCATGGAAACTGATCTTCTTTGTTTTCGGGTTTTGCTTGTTTGTTTGCTTGGTGGTGGTGGTGAGGGGTTTTTTGTTTGTTTTTTTTTGTTGTTACTCCTATTTTCATGGGGAAATTGGAGAACTTTCATGGGTTAATGAGCTCTTCCTAAACAGGAAAAAATATAAGGAAAATAAATGCAAAACATAAGCAGTTGCTTTTAGGGCAAATGTATTGCGTAACTTAGAAAATATCTTAAACAGTTATTTTGAATCTTACATCTTTATTAAATGAATCTTATTTCTCTACTAAAACAGTTGTACTTTTTAAGACTAAACACAGAAGTACGTTCTAGGGGCTGTGTTAACTTCAAAATGACAGCAAATTGGTGGAAACATAGTTTTGCAAGGTTTTAATACTACTTTTACTTTTTAGTTATTTTCATATTTGTTCTAATTTCTTTATTAAAGGTACAACTGTTAGAATTCATTTCTGGCCTAGTGAATGTACAAGAAAACAGTGGTTCTGTTACTTTTACTCCTTCCACACCAGTCAACAGACATGGCCATGAGAATGTAAAGGTAAAAATTATTTGTGTCTCTTGTACTGTTCTGTATATATTAAAAAGACTGAAATATAACAGTTTTCTTTCTGGCATTAACGTGTATTAAAATTCTGTATTAATCGAGGATATTGTAGGTGTGTGCATGAGGCTAAGAGTGGAAATCTGTAGTTTGGAAGACAGGGTTTTTTTATGGCAGGCATTTGATGTGGATTTAATCTACCTTGAAACACAAAGGAATGAGTTCTTCTACAAGTACACCATCACTCAAACATTGTCTTGACTGAGTTAGATAATTTGCCCAATACTACAAGTTGAAGTGGTAGGTAAAGTAAACTTTTTCAATTTCATTTTATTAGTACCTACTCCCTTACATACAGAATAATTCTGAAGAGCCACTGCAGTGGTAACTATAGGAAAGCAAACATTTGTCTGTCCCACTAGGAGACTTGAGGACTTTCTGGGAATGCCAGATAATTGATTTTACCCTTTCGACCCCCAAAACTGCAATCTTTGAATACTGTTACATTGCTTTATTTACAGAAGCTTTTGTCATTTCCAAACATGCTTTCCTTGTGATGACAATTTCAATTCAATAATTAGGTACAACCCAAAATATTGCTGAACAAGAAAACATTTTCTGAACTAGGGTTCTCCCTTAGGTAGCACTTCTGCCACTTACATAATGGCTTTTTTGCTGCTCCCACTTGTATAGTAAAAATAGTCTTTTCAGACTATCACACACATTTGGTATTTTTAGTGCCTATGATTGTTGTACACATTCCATTGAATAAGAGGAAATTCCACAGTAAATATAGTTTTTTCTCATTATCTTTCCTTTTGTTAATGGCCTTTATTTGGTCTTTGCTTCCAAAAAACCAGAATTCTTCAGTCCTGGGACTGTTGTTCTTACAGGGTCCAGAATAGTGCTGCAATATAAGCAATTACAATGTTTTGGTTGTGTGGGTGGACCTGGGTCACAGTTTATGTCCAAATTCAATCAGTGGAATTTCTCTGAAATCCACTGGGAGCCAAGGGAAAAATTACTGAATTTGGTGCGGAGCTGGTAAGCTGTTTAAAATCTTAGTCTGTTGGAAGTTAATGACGAATCCTTATGTGGTTTAATAGTGCCAGTCTTTTGCCTTGGGATAGAGAAGGATTATATCTGAACAGGTTTCTAAGTAGAAATTGATAGCCAATTTTAATAGCTATAGTTTCAACCCTCAAATATTTCGTGAATATTCAAGTACAGTATAAATGATTTTAACATGTTAATCATGCTTGCTTTTCAATACTTCCAGAATCCCCATACATATCTAATTAACAAATATATATATTTATATATATGTACAAAAGGAATATAACTTAGAGACTAGTTTGTGTGTTGCTTTCTTATGCAGATGACAATCCTGGCAAAGAAGTGTGTTTGCTCATATTTAAGCCTGTTGGTGAATTCTAAGGATGATCTGGCATTGGCTCATATTCTAAATGTTCCTGACAGAGGACTTGATAGAGAAGCCTTCACTAACCTAAAACACGTCTCACAGGAGAAAAAAATGTCGATTTTCCTGGTATGTGTCATGAAACTTGCTGTAGATCAGAAGAAATTAAAAACATCTATGAATATAAATTCTTGCTTTAATCTCATGCAAGACTGATATTTGCAAGGCAAGTCAAATGCCACCATAAACATGATTTGTAGGTTCAAAAGATGCAGCAGAGATTCTATGTGAATAAATTGGGTGGTGCTTGCTTGGTCATAAGATGTAAAGATGCACAGAAGAATGATTGTGTGCATGTGTACCTCAAGCTCTAAAATGTGATATTGTGAAAATGGGCATCAAGACTTCATCGCAAGCAGTGACTGAAATCCTGAAATGTTTCCTGTCTTAAACATAAGGAATGCTTTATTATTGCTTTTAAATTTTTGAAATCTTGGTAAATAGTGTGAAGTGAGATCATGGCTACACATAACAAAGACGAAGAAAAGATGGCATTAGCCTAGATGTTGCTGCTTACCAATTAGCTATGAAAGCAGTTGTGGTGTACTAATGCTCCTCAGGTACATGTCAAAGCTATACTATCACTCCCCTCCTCAGCTGACAGGGGAAATTAAATAGAATGAAAGGCTTTTGAGTCAAGATAAGGACAGAAAGAGATCATTCAGCAATTAGTTGTGAGTAAAACAGTCTACTTGTGGAAAAGTTGATTTACCAATCAAATCACAACAGGGTAATAAGAAATAAGCCTCATTCTTAAACCACTATCCTCCTACCCCTCCCTTCTTCCCAGGCTTAACTTAACTCCAGATTTTTCTCTACCTCTTCCCTCCACAGCAGTGCAGGGTCATAGGAAAATAGGGGTTGTGGTCAGTACATCACATGTTATCACTTCCCCTCCTTGACTTCTCACACTTCCCCTGTTTCAGCATAGAGTCCCTTCCATGGGAAACAGTTCTCCTCAGACTTGAGTTGTATCCTCCCACAGGCTTCAGTTCTTCACAGGCTGCTCCAGTGTAGGTCCCTTCAGTGGAGTGCAGTCCTTCAGGAACACACTGCTCCAGCGTGGGATCCTGTGGAATCAAATCCTGCTAGCAAACTTGCTGCTCCAGTGTGGGCACCACTCTCCATGGGGCCACAGGTTCTGCCAGGAGCCTGCTCCAGTACAGACTTCCCATAGGGTCACAGCCTCCTTTACTCATCTGCCTGCTCTGGTGTGGGAACCTTCATGGGCTGCAGGTGGATATCTGCTCCATCTGGATCTCCATGGGCTGCAGGGGGACAGTCTGCCTCACTGTGGCTTGCACCACTGCCTGCAGGTGAATAGCTGCTCCAGCATCTGGAGCATCTCTTTCCCTCTTTCACTGACCTTGATGTCTGCAGAGCTGTTTCTCTTACATATTTTCCCTCCCCCTCCAGCTGCCACTGTACAGTTGTTTGGGTTTTTGTTGTGTTTTTTTTTTGTTGTTGTTGTGTTTTGTTTTTGTTTGTTTTTTCTTTTTTGTCCCCTTCTCAAATATGTTATTTCATAGGTGCTGCCACTGTCACTGATCAGCTTTGGCCAAGTGGCAGGTCCACCTTGGAGCCAGCTCATATTGGCTCTATCAGACACAGGGGAAGCTTCTACAGCTCCTTACAGAAGTCACAGCTACCAAAAGCTTTCCATGCAAACACAGTACAGCAATGAGGTTTACTAATTATTGCGAAGCAGTATTAACATTAACAAAACCAACCCACATATTACAATGCATTTCAGTTTTAAATTTCTGTAAGTATTTTGGTTATACTAGCACAGCATTTTCTGTGCATATGTTAAACTTGAGACATCTGGAGCCTAAAGTATTTCTGTGTGCAGACTGCTTTTCTTAGAGCAACCTTGTCATAAAACCCTGACTTTGACCTGGACACTAGAACAGAGGGCAAAATTTGAAAGGGCAGTGCAGTTTTTTCACCTTTGACTCAGAATTTGGAGAGGCTAATGCTTTCCAGTCATTGGTGAGTCTTGAAATACTCTTCAAGACATGATTGATATGGTGCACTCGTGATCTCAAAGGCACAGAATTGGAAAAAGCCCTCAAGACAGTGGTATACTCTTTCCTCAGCGCTCTTGTATAAGAATATAAAAAGCTACAGAATCAATGTGCAATGCTTACAGAGGCTTGTGAGGTGCATTTATATTTACATTTACAGTCTTCACAGAGCTCTCTCATAAATAGTTGGAATAAGATGAGTGAGAATTCTTTCTCCAAAGAACCACCATAGGCTCTCGTATTAAAAGTAATCGGATTTTGCATGCACAGTGGCCTCAGTGCAGACAACAGCAGACCAACGAAAAATGGTATGGGTATGTAGCAGTCACTGAAGCAGCTGCGTTCTCTGATTTTTGTGGTTGAATAAATATGGAATATTTGTGAAATCCCAGTTCCAGAATTCATTATTTTAGCTCTTAATGCTCTGTTAACATTGCATTAAAAAAAAAACAACTATGTCTTTGGACTGGATTTATTACCTCTTCCTCACAGTTGCCAGAGGGGAAACTTCTCTACCATGTAAAGAAGTCGTCTTTTCTGGCATCTGTGTATTGTAGAAATCTTGCAAAGCCAGAATATTTTCCATTGGGAAGGCAAGGTCCTATGAACTGTACTTGATCCACAGGAAATCTTTAACACAAAGGCAAGAATATTGGCAGGTTTACTTTCTTTGCTAGAGTAATTCCAGTTGTATTCTTTCCAGTCCAAAGAGCTTTATGATTTAGCTGTATAGTCTGAAATTAAAATTTATATGTAGAATTAATATTACTGCATCTGTGTCAAGCGTATTGGATTGTTATCTTTCCTTTCACCTTTCTGGAGAACTGTGAGACTTTTTATGCTGACTGTTGCCTTAAACTTTGAAGGATTATCATCTAAAGCATACTGTTTTGGGGACATTTCTTGTTTTACTGTCTTTCTAGCATATAAAAATATATAGAAAATTTCCGAACTGTGTACCTGTGATAACTCATAATTTTTCAGAAGCTTTGATTATATATTATTTCTATTTGCACCTTTGAAAATAGATGCACTACTGTGGTCACCTTTTGCGTGCATGTGTTAAAATTGTTCTTGGGTCATAGAGAGCTTTCTGAATAGGAGAATAGTTTATATGGGATCAGCATGAGCATTTCAACAGCAGCAGCAACAACAAAAAATATCTATACCATGTGTTAATAAAGTTTTTCCTAAGCTGTCAAGAAACCAATATAAATATCAGTTTAACTGGGTCATTTTTGCTTTGGCTTGTGGTTGTTTTTTTTAATACTGCTGCACTCTAAGTATTGATCTTGCAACTATTCATGGTGAGATATACAAAGCTTGCCAATAAGACATGTTCTATTAAATTCAGTTAAAATTCTTCTATCAACCAGCTGTTGTACACTATTTAAAAATCTGTAGAAGAGGCTTACTTCATCACACATACATTTTGCATATATCTACAGTTTCACATTTCTGAATATTTTTCCTAATAGATGGCAACATCTTTTATCCGAACTGTAGAAATTGGAGGAAGAGGCTATGCATCTTCGTTGTTTGATCCTTTAAAAGTCCATGTAAAGGGACTTTCTAACTTCATTAATTTTATTGATAAACTACAAGAAACTCTTGGTGAAATCTTAAATCCAAGGTAATAGAATTTTCTGTTATATTTTTGTCTTGTCAAGCACCCTTTTTTCTTGTGCACGTGTCTTGAGGAATGAAAGAAAATCTAATTGTTTACTTATTTAATAATTTAGAATAAATGTTTACAACTAGAACCTTAATAGCAAATAGAAATATTTGAAAAACAATTGTTAAGCTTATATATTTTGGAGGTTATTTGTATTACAATTTTATCAAATCAGTGTACATATGGCTATTTGGTTAGTTGCATAGTTGTTGATGAACTTCCAATGATTTCAGTCTAGTGGCTCTGGTTAAGTACATAGACTGACATGTGCTTTATTTCTTGCTAGTTACCGACTTCCTTTTTGTCATTTCATTGTATATACTGTTATATGAAGGAGTCTTTATTGCTGCTGACAAATTACTCCATTAGTTATTTATATTTAGCCATTTTTTTTTTTTTTTAGTTACGTAAGTGAAGTGCAACAATTATTTCTTGGGAAGCTTTTCGTGAAGTCACTGATTTTGAATGTTTTTAAGACCTGAAGTTAATCTTTTGGGCAGGCTTATAGCTGTGAGATTAATTAGAGAGAAGTGTAATTGTAGCACAGGAATTTGAATTGGTAAGTGCTGGCATTAGTACTTACTAGAGGGAAGAGCAATTTTCTTAAGTAATTTTTTTCATTTATCATCAGTAATTTTTCTATACAAAACTTTAGCAAATAAGCTGCTCTTGATACTTCATGATCTTAGTTTGAATCGAGTCTAATCCACACAGTTGAAAACAAACTGCTATAAGTGAGCCATAAACATTTTAATTACTGTTCAGATAGTACTGAAGCTGGAAGTGGGAAGTGTTTCTGAAGTTGTTTTGCAGGTTTTGTTTTATTTTTTGGTTCTACTTCTTTGTTCTTTTATTTCAACATCCTGGATTCCAGAGACGTGCCGTCTGTGCTGGTGATTAAAGAAAACTTTTGACTCAACATCTAATGTATGCTTTTTTTCTTTATTTAAATCTTACCTAGCACTGTACATTGATAAAAATGAGAAATAAAATAACATTTATTTGCATTAACTTTTTAGAGTGGAAAGACTGCTTTTCCAGGTATATACAGGTCAGGAAATTATAAATAAACATAATGTTACATCTTCTGCTTAAGGCATGTGAGACAGTGGGATAGTTGCTGGAAATTCAGTTTATAATTGGGATAGTTCTCTGGAGCTTGGAAATTGTTTTCAGTATTCAGGTATGTATTCTGCTGCTTTCTCTGCTGTGCTTCCTGTCCCATTTATTCTGGGATATAAATGTTGTTAATGTGAGATGCTAGCATGTTTATTAGGTTGTATACATACGTGTAGGTGGTGTCAGTTGTATCACTGACCAAGAATGGAAGCTAGCTGTATTGTGGCATTTCTAGTATCTCTTGTACTCCATATGGGCTTTATAACCTCACAATGTAGAGTACTAGTATTGTTTTTACATATGTATCTATATAGTAGCTCAGTGCTTACAGAAATATACCAGTTAGTTAGCTATCTTTGGAAGAATCTTCATGAGTATGCTGAAGTTCTCAAATGTTATAGGACTAGTATACAGCTTAGAAACTGTAAGGGTCCCAACCCTGATTAACAGAAAGGTATTAGCGTTCTTTAGGGTTTGGAAAGCTATATGAATGAGGACTGTCTATATGCCCTGCCTGTGATATGACAGTTACTATGAATTCCAGAAAATACAGTTCTACATTAGAAGGAGTTCTAAACTAGTTCTGCCACTACTGCAATCTGAAGTTTCAGTTGCTTAGTCTTTAGAAACCTGCTGAGAAATCTAAGAGCAAACTGCACAACCAGTCTGTGGTATTGCTGTTTCTCTGATGTAGAGATTAGCTGAACTGTAAAACCTAGGTCTCAGTATTTGCTATGCCACAAATGGCCAGTATTCTTGGGTTTTTACTTAATGATCAGAAGTCTTTTTTATTTCAGTTTCATTTTGTTACAGTGGGTATCTTATGAAAAATTCAGATAAGAACATGAACAGTAGATGAGATGAGGGATGGGAAGGTTGTCAGTGGGAAGTCAATTGAACTGTCATGACTTGGTTTAAATATGGCACAGATGTGGTAACAGGAGAAATGGAAAGATATGATGAACTTTGGTTTCAGTGTATTTACCAAGCAGAATAAACATTCTAATGAATCTCTGAAGTTTTGAAATAGTTCAGCTTTTCCTCTCCTCATTCTCTAAATGTCTGATTAGTTAAGAATTGGTAGCATGAACATTCCTTAAAGTTCGTGGTCTGTGAAACTTGTAACCCTAAAGCTATTTACACATTCTGTACGAGTAAGACTTGGACAATGTTTATGCAGTAAATAGCTTGAATATTCTACTTTTTGTGTCTTGTTTCTTTGACAAGAAACCTATCAATGTTGTATTTGTCAGTGAAGTGAATGATTATTATATACCTAAGGGTCTAGAAACTGTTTTCTGTTGGTATAAATGAAAAAGTGTAGCACTAATCAATCATCCTGGAAATCCTTCAATTTTAGGACAAACTATAAAACTTCCTGCATCTGGAAAAATCTTGCTTATTTCTAAAATTATTTTTTTTTCAAGTACGTAAAAGATGTGTGACTTAAAACTGAATGATGGAAAAGCAGTTTGCTTACTGCATGCTGCACTTGTTAGTCCATATAGATGTGTTTGTGTGTATACATATGTATACTTTGAAAGTCCCCACTGATTCTGTAGAGAAGAAACGGTAGATGTGTAGTAAATTCAGTTGGGCACTGACTTCGCTGTAATCACTGACCACTAGGTGACACTATTGCACAGCTCACATTAGTAGCTGTTTAAAGTTAACTATTATTTCATTCAACACATTTGAGCATGCATGATGCTTTGGAGTGGGTCTACATTTCAGGTCAGTGAGTAGTTTTCTACAGTCAGTTGTTGAAATTATACAGCTTGACTTGATCGTGTACTTGCATTAGTGCACTGAACTTTACCTTGACAGGGAAAATGCTATTTCTTAGGTGTTGCTGTGATTGCATCTGGAGGTGCAATAGTATTTTGGGAGAGAAAGCATATGCAACTTTATCTGGCTTTGTGCCAGATGTTTGAGTTAATTGAATAGTGTCCATGCAGCCCTGGAGTTGTGTTCTAGAGTTGCTGGAAAGTTGTGCAAACATGTGCAAAACATTGCCTTATATGGCTCCTTAAACATAGTTTCATGGGTTCAGATATATCAGTTACTTTTATCCTTCCTAGTAGCTGGTGGAGTGCTGTGTTTTGACTTTAGTCTAAGAACAGTGCAGATAACATACCAATGTTTTTAGTTGCAGCTAAGTAATGCTTACCCCAGTCAAGGACTTTTCAGTCTCATCCCCTGCCAGTGAGGAGGGGCACAGGAAGCCTGGAGGAAGCAGAGACAGGGCTAGCCAAAGGGGTATTCCATACCACAGCATGTCATGTCCAGGATATAAACTGGGGGGTGTCACCTGGAAGGGACAAATTGCTGCTCGGGCCAGACTGGGTATCGGTGGGTGGTGAGCAATTGTGCATCACTGCTGGTTATTGGTTTTGGGTGGTTTTTTTCTCCTTTTTAGTTTTATATTCTCTCCCCTTGTTATTTCCCTTATTATTAGTAGTAGTAGTTTTATATTATACTCCAGTTATTGGACTGTTATCTCTACCTGTGGAATTTGCATACTTTAGATTCTTTTCCCTATCCTGCCTGGAGGGAGGGGATAAGGGGTTGGGGCTGGGGGAGTGTGAGCAAATGGCTGCGTGATTCTGAGTTATCGGCTGGGCTTAAACCACGATGCTTAGGAGCACAGAGTAATTCAGGTTGGAAGGAACATAAGGATGTTTTTGGTCCAATATCCTGCTGAGAGCAGGCCCAGTTGCAGGGTCAGCTGAGGTTAATCAGGGCTTTATCCAGTCAAGCTTTGTGCAGTCTTCATCTTTGAGGTTTTCAGTCTCCCTCTTGGCAACCTGTTACACTGCTTGAGTGTCCTCATGATTAAAAGTTTTGGTGACCATGTCCATTGCTGTTGTCCCCTACCCTCTTCCCACATATTGAGTGGGACCTCTCAGTTTATGCCAGTTGTCTCTTTTCCTTTCATTAACTGCTAATGTGAGAAGCCTGGCTCCATCTTCTTGGTTACCTTTTCATAGATATTAGGAAGCTGTAAGTAGATCCCTCTGAAGTCTTCTCATCTCCAGGCTGAACAAGCTGTTCCCTTAGCTGTTTCTCACAGGGCATGACTCCCAGACCATCTTGGCAGCCTCTGCTGAGCTTGTTCCACTTTATCAGCGTCTTTTCTGGTCTGGGGGGCCCAAAACTGGATGAAGTATTTTAAGTTTGGTCCAACAAGTGCTGATTAGAGAGGGATAATCACATTCCTCAGACTACTGGCTACGCTACTGCTGAAACGGCCAAGGATACTGTTGGCTGCCTTTGTTGCCAAGGCACGCTCCTGGCTCACGGTTAGGTTGCTGAACATGCACCAGGACTCCCAGGTTCTTTTACATGGAGCTGGTCCCCAGCCTGTATCACTGCAGGGGGTTATACTTTTCCAAGACTTCATGTACCCTGCTGAATTTCATAGGGTTCCTGTCAGCCGATTACTCCTATCTCTTTAGGTAACTGTATGACAGCTCTGCCCTCAAGTATATTGACTGTTCCATCCAATTTGGTGTCATCTGCAAACTTGATGAGCATGTATTTTTATCACCACATCACTGCCAAAGATATTTAAAAGAAAAAAAAATCAGGTTTTAGGCTAGGTCCTGGTGGTACTCCCTTTGTTACTGGCCTCCAGATACAGTATAACATATTTATTATCTTCTGAGCTTGATCATCCAACCTGTTTCTACTCAGTTGTCCATCCATCCAGACTGTAATATCTAAACTTATACGTTGAGAGTATTTTCTGACAGTGTTGAAAGCCTTGCTACAATCAAGGTAAATTTTTCCCTGGTCTGCAAAACCACACTTTTTGTTATAGGAGGTAAACAGATTAG